ATTCAATTTGGCGGACTGTCCAAAATGAAGGACTAGTTCTTTTTCATGCACTCTCATCATATGGATATAACGGTGGACTTCCAAAGACAGTGAACTATTTTATCATGCTCCCTCATAATATGAATACCAAATAATGGAGTTCTTAAGGAAAGTAACGAAATGGCGAAAAAAAAGGAGGCCGCTGTATAACTTTCAAAAAAATCCAACTTGCCTAGAGACTGACCATACAATAATGACAAATCAAACAAAATGAACAGACTAAGAAATATGCCTAGCGAAGTAAAGAGTAAAAACAAATCAATAATTGAAAAACGTATCAGAAAGCAAGTTTTCTGATGACATGTGATTTTGTAGCTCCATATCTGAATAAATATCAATTCACTGTGTTGTGGTGTAAAGTGATGGTTAGAAAATTTTAAACCCTTTACTTTGTTTTCTGTGTAACTGTAGAGTAGGGAGGGTGAGTATAGACCCACAGCACTTAGGCCACATGTGACCCATTTATCATCCTCCCGTGGAGTTGTCAAGGTGGACAGGTCACTAGGAAACATTTCCTTTATATCAGCAGGTGTAGGCCAAGACTGACCGAACACACACTCTCTTTGGCCACCTTGAGGTGTCTCACGCCGGCCTCCATGACGATTTTGGAAGGTGCAGCGAGATTACTGTCGTTGCGTGGCTTCTTCAACCTCCTTGGAGGTGCTCAAGTGAGAGCGCTTTTCTGCAGAGGCAGCCGGTTCATTCAAGGCGAAGATCTTGGCGCCCACTGCAGGAAGTGCCCTAGCTGTTAGAGGTGAAGTGGGAGAGGAGGAGGATGCACTTATAGTTGTTGCCACTCCTGCCTCTTTCGCTCTCTTTCTTCTTTTGGCCTCAGGGTCGCAAATGCGCTTACGCCTTGGCCTTCATATTACATCACGAGGTGATCTGCTATGTCCAGCCTCATTACGAGCAGTATATTGGAATGGACATTTCTGTTCATCCTCAGCCACCGCAATAGATTGAGGTGAGCACTTCTGTCCAGCCCCAGGATTGGTTCTTGTTGTTTCTTTTTGTGTTTGTTTCATTCACTCGTGTGAGTCGTGGGAGTCTCAATTTTCCTAACCCTACTTATTTCTGCCACTGATCAGGAGTCCGGCGATCGCGTCCGTAAGGCCACATTGACTTCCCGGACAGGGAAGCGGCTGGTGTAATTCTGTATAACTTTCAACAGTCTGGCCAAACCACCACAGCAGAGTCATATTGTGACGAAATCGACGAAATGTACCGAAAATTGCGTCAGCAGCAGCCGTCACTGATCAGGAGAAGAGGTCTGATACTGCTCCATGACAACTTTAGTTGTCGCACGTTTCATTAATCATCGTCCGAAAATTGAGCGAACAAGCGTCGCAGTTCTACCTTACCCACCATACTCCCCAGACCTTCGCCAGCCAACTATTATCTTTTCAAAAGCCTTAATGGCTTCGGTTAGGTTTAAAATGAGTGGGTCTATTCGACCATCCACCGCAACCCGTAAGGGTTTAGTTTGTATAGTGAGTGATCTTCCAGCGGGGCAGGAAGTGTTCTGCTGTTTCATCATTCTCCAGAGGCGACACACACTGTCTTCCGACAATCCGAGTGTCTGCATATGATTCAAATGACAGTGGCCTGTGAGAAGGCCTGTTAGACATCGTAGTCCATCCCTACTGTAGTCCAACAACTGTTTGGTATCAAGCTTCGAAGGGTGAATAAACGCCTTGGAGTGAGCCAGTCCTGGAACATTCTGCCAGTGACATGTTCTGGTCCGATGAAGCTGTGTGCAGCACACTTCTTTGCAAGGAAGTCAGAAGCCTGATTGCCTTCCAGGCCAGTATGACCAGGAATCCAGATCAGAGACAGTCTGTTAAGCCTTCCTATCGTTTTTGGCAATTTGCTACCAATTTAGACATTGCTCAGTGGGAGCCAAGAGCTTTCAACGCCGCTTGACTGTCAGCACACAATTCAATAGCGTAAATTTCCGTTTGAAATACAGGCACATGGGTTTGTAAGCAGTTTCATATCTCTGTTCTGGGTGTTTTTAATCCATCTGTGAACCAACAGTTATCTGCTCTCAATATTCCCTTCTCCGTTCGCGACTTTTTCCAGATTTTAAGGTGGACAGCTTTCTCATGCTTGAGATATGTGACAGACACGTTCTTTAGACATGTTCATAACCTCCACCATTGCCCTCACTTCAATTCGGCGGTCGTCAAGCATCATTTAGTGAACTTTGGCGATGTTTCCGTTGGAAGTGGCAGTTTTCCAAAGTCCCGAACGTACATCGTCTCCCAAGCTTCTACAGTCACATTCAAATTCAACTTCCCCAAATTTCACTGTAATAAATGATGGTGCAGAGTCCCCATATACAGAATCCACGCATCTTTGATTTGCGTAGGAGTGTTGCCTCTCAAAACCAAATATTTAATGAAAGTTCTATACTCGATTATATGCATCTTCATAAAAACACCCACAGTACTGCCATCTTCATGTTGAAGTCGTAAACTTTTCAGACCACTCTCGTATTGTATAGCAGAAAACGTTCAAGTGGAAATCTCACATTGAAGTATGTTTTTTGAATAATGAAACAATAATTTTGATGAAGTTTGAATATACCGTACAGTTGTCATACTATCGTTTATAACACTATTTGTTGTTGCCCGTGGCTTCGCCCGTGTAGAATTTGGTAGTTGTAGTACTAATTAGTACTATGTTGCTGTATCGCTGCTGTTCTAATGTTTTGACAGAATCAGAATCAACGAACTTAGGCGTGCGCAGCGTTATAGAACAGTGCTCTCAAAAATTGTTCTACAGCGCCATCTAGTGGCGAGTTACAGAAAAATTGATAGCCTAAAAACCTTCTCTATGAAAAAATCTTATACATGTCAAGTTTCATCACGATCGGTTGAGCGATGTAGAAGTTTATCACTTACCAACCAACCAACCAACCAACCAACAAACATCCATTTTTTATTTTAGATTCATGATATTGCCGAAAAGCCTTTTGAATGAAAGGAGCTGGACATCTGAAGTGGTCGGATATTCAGAATTATAAAGGTATCTATATTTTCCTTGATTCCCAACAAGGCCTGTGGAACCCGTGAATTGGGCTACCTATCGGGCGTGTCCCCAGGTGGAGGATAGGGGAACGGCCAAGGGACTGTAGGCCCTGTCCGGGAAGGCAATGTGGCCTTACGGACGGGGACGCCGGACTCCTGGTCCGTAAGTAGGGTGAGGGGAACTAAAACTCCCCAAAAGCCTTTGCGAAACATGACACCGTGGACCAGCCTACCCAAGCTGAGGTGTAAGGAATCGTGCCGACAGCTGAATGGCCGCAGGGCAGTTACGAACGATCCCCTTGATGAACCGGGCCAAACCTCATTGTAATCAGCCTACCTCTGGTAATGCGGGGCTCTACCAGAGGCTACTCGTGGGAACACACATAAATGAAACAACAAAAACCAATCCTGAGGCTGGACAGAAATGCTCACTTCCATCTAAGGCGGTGGCTGAGTATGAAAAGAAGTATCCACCCCGATCTACCGCTTGGAATTAGGTTGGACATAGCTGCTCCACTTGTGCACCTCCACGGAGGGAACCCCAAGAAGGTTGAGGAAGCCGCGCAACGACAGGAATATCGCTGCACCTTCCAAAACCTTCGCTGAGGCTACCGTGAGAAACCTCAAGGTTGCCAAAAAGAGTGTGTGTTCAGCGAGTCTTGGCCTACACCTGCCGATATAAAGGTTATGTCTCCTAGTGACCTGTCCACCTTCCTGGAAAGGACAGGATGGACGATGACCTAGGAGGACAACTCTTCGGGAGGATGTAAAACGGGTCACATGTGGCCTATGTGCTGTGAGCCTACACTTAGGAATCACACGTTAAAAGGTAAGACCTCGTTAATCCTTAGCTCGCACAAGTTTCGACTTCTGAGGGTTGTCGTTCGTAGGGGTGCGACAGCTGGTTAAAGGAAAAACAGAAACAGATTTCAAACAGATTTAAACTCACCCTCCCTACCCTACAGATACCAGATCAGTCCGGGATGAAAACAGTTGAAAGTGTACTTCAAATTGTTCGTTTTCTGGATGAAAGGAAAAATGTCGTCAACATGTCTTCTGGAGAATAACAGCGGAAATGACAACTTTTCAATTCTGTAGTTCTGTCGAAAAATCTTTCTTTGTTGAGTACTTTTTCATCATTTTTTTTTTCAATTATCATTTTTTTTTTCACCATACAATAATATAAAAGTAAGTAGTCTTTCAGATCAGATAGTAAAAGTACGGCTCTGCCGAACTCTGACAACCTGATTCGGTGCCCAGAGGGGCAGGCACAAAGTATGTGTTTTCATATAATTACCAATGTTAATAATTATATAAATCGTAAAAAATCATAAAGTACCGTTATCTTCTATCACTGATAACAAGTCTCTGTTGAGCTACCATTGAGAAAATCGCTGTTGAAATTAAATTATTCCTAACATCTCAACATTCGTTATAAAAACTAAAAAAAATTCAGATCCTTGATGAAATGATAATCCATAGATACATTATCAATTTGTTTCGAAAAACAACAGTTTCCATGTACATTTTAGACAATTTATTGTATGTATGATTACAAAATATCTCGCAAATCCAGTTACAATTTACGAGGATTTAGTTGGAGAAAAACCAAGAAGAGATATGAATATAATGATAGTGTATGTGGAGAACACAATAAATAAATCATTAGAAACTCGGGCTCATCTTGTCAAAAATAATTATATTTTGAAAAAAAGTATAAGAGAGATGAATCAGGTAAAGTGACAATTTATAAATTCAAATATATCGTAATCTGATTTGTCAAAAATCCACAATTTAAGAATCTCGGCTAGCTATACATTATAGATTGAAGAATTATCATGCATCCTCATCCAAAGTGTTTATTTATTTATCCGACTTGTGCATTGAAAACTACAAATACTGTGTCACTATAAAAAAGTAAAAACTTACTCTACAGGCGTTCAGGATTTGAGCAGAATAATATCGCATATTATCCTTCAAAGTTCTGTAACCTGATATTTCCGGCTGGTGTTCAACAACGGCAGCAATGTAATCCTGAAACATAACAGTACATATAGTATTGAATACTATACTTTTCCCAAGACGCATATCAGAAATATTCAAAAATAAAATTTCTTCGTTGTTAAAGATACCCCAAATGAGAATAATATTCAAAAACTACAGTTGTTGTGATTTTAACTCAGGACCACACAACAGAAGGTGAGACCTCGTTACTCCTTAGCTCGCACAAGTTTTGACTTCTGAGAGTTGTCGTTTATAGGGGTGCGACAGCTGTTCAACAAAAAATAGATTCAAATTGATTACAACAGAGATCAACCATTGCTCCACAATGCTGTTCCAATTTCTAGCTACCTACTATAATTATTATTGAGTTGCAAACTTCTCAAAATAATCAATGATTGAGTTTGACTTCCAAACGAACACTTTTCGAAAGGGCATATAAATATTTCGAAATTTCATTTCGACCAGAGTATACAGGGTGTAACTAAATAAGTGTAAAGCATTCAAGGAGGTGATTCCTCATCGAAAAAAAGATAGGATCTTTCATATAAAGAAATTTCATTGGAGCATCCTTTCGCATTTATGACGATGTATCTCTATAGTTGTTCGTAAAATAATTTTTTGTTTTTGCTGCGAACTGGTTTATTTTGGGCAAAAAACCCAGGGGACATTTTTTGTTTATAATGAAACAGGCTATCGGAAATAAATTTTTAAATGGTGAACAAATAATAAGACCCACCCCTTAGAATCATGGGGTGAACCAAATAAATTACTAGCCAAGTGTCTTTTTGGTAGTACAAAACGTCAGATTGATTTCAATATTGTAATTTCCTCAGTGCTTGTGAAAATAATTGTTATACACATTTTATGTACCACCTTTAATGGGCTGTATCTTAACAAGGGATGCTTCAATGAAGTTTCTTCATATGAGATATCATATATTTTTTTCGATGAGGAATCACCTCCCTGAATGTTTTACACTTATTCAGTTACACCCTGTATAATACCTACCCAGTAGTTTCTCTCTTGTCGTAACTTTTGATGTTTCTGTCTCAGACTTCAGTTTTTTTGGGAATACTGCGCAGTCCTAAATTACCTGCCACGAGTGGATTTGTCAGCGTTTGCTATTTCATACACTGCTCATAAAGTGAATAATAGATAAAAACTGCTCGACAGTAAAACAAATTTCATGGGAAATTAAATGGGTGTTTTGTAGAAATGTATAATGTCATGAACCGCTTTGAATTTCTTATTCAAATTGTTCATCGTTTTTACATGCTACTTGTCTGTTTGGTTCAAGTTTTGCAATCGATTTAAAAACAAGTTACCGATGAGCTGAAGGAGCTTGCAACTTCAAACATAGCTCAGAACTTGATGAAAATGCAATATTGAGGCATACTGTATGAATAATATAAAACGTATAAATTTCGAAAAGAAAAGAGTTTGTTTGCTTGTCCAATTCAGATGAAATGCAACAAACAACATTGGAACATACATGTGCGTAGGTGGTTATTCTCAACTAAATAGAGAATTACTTGTTTGTTTGAAGGTGTTCGACAATTTTTCGTGGCAAATTTCATTAGTTCCGACTTATATGATATAGTCTTATATGATAGTCTTATATGATATACATTGATTCGAAATCCTTGAAAGAATCCATAAAAAATTGAAGAGATTAGCTTAAAAAAATGATATCAAGCAGAAAAACCGAAATCAAAATGAAATAAAATACAAGCAAAAATCAAAAAATTGACCTATCAACATGAGATGAAAGTTAAATATCATTAACACGAAATGAAAATTGAAAAATTCAAAATTAAAAGATTCCAAGCCAAGTTACTTTACGACGTTTCGATTGCTAGTATCCACAATCGTCTTCGGGTGACTAATCAAAGGTCATTCGGGTGCTTTCACTCATTCCCCATCCCGCTTTATCGGTTTTAGCGGAAGCTGATCGTTTGGCGGAAGTTGGTCGTGTTCCGCTTGATTATAGGTTTCCATATGTTGCATATCTCTACGCTAGCTTGACTAAAAGCGTTATTGGACAACATATATGCAGCTTCTTTGAATTTTTCCCTGAACCAGAGTCCCTCCGTGTGGATGATTTCAGCTTGAGACCACTTGATGTTATGTTGATGAGTCCAGTTGATGAGTCCAGACATACTCTACTATTCCTGATTTCTCCTCTCTGTGCGTGTTTCTTGCTTGTGAAGCTCTTGCTGTCTTCCAGCCAAAGTCTGTTCCACCATTACTTTGTAGTAACCATTCCGTTGAAGGTAATTTTTGATGAAGCCCAGTTCCTTTTCTAGACCTCCCTTTGTCTTGCAGAGCCCGAAAGAACGGTCTAGTAGAGTCATGATGATTCCTCTCTCAGTTGATTGATGGTGGTTGGATTCCTGGTTCAGATACCGTCCCATGTGAGTGGGTTTTCGGTATATAGATGTTTCCCATTTAGTGTCGGTCCTCTTCACCAATACGTCTGAGAATGGCAATTCGTTGTCGACTCACTTCTCCATTGTGGAAATGATTCAAGGAAGGACTCACATTGTTGATGTCCTTTAGGAAGGTGTCTAGTTCTTTCAGGGATTTCAAATCCATTTATATCATATTAGACAATGGAAATTCGAACTACCGGAATATAATACTCGTTGCTTCTTCACGAGTACCTACAGCTATACTGTGGTGAGACCTTCAGGTTATATATACCATAACAAATATTGTTTTATCATCTTTTTTCATCGTTGAGAATAATTTCTAGCATTCAATAGAAGCAAAGTAATCAGTTGGGCTTGGGACCGATAGATTATCAACGCATATTGATAAAAATATTTTATTTAGATATATCTGAATCATTCGTCAATTTCAATAAGAGGATTGTCGCCAGATTAGTTTTGAAACACTCGGCAGACATTGATATTATCTCGTTGCGTAATGAGACAGGTATGATTAGAACATACACAGATAAAGATACCACGAATTTCATATGAATTATATTCAAAATATGAGTATAAAGGAAACTTTATCAAATTTTGTTAGCCGACACTTGATGTTTTGAAACGAATTCAAAAAACACTTAATTGTAAGATTTTCACGAAACACTTTTACAAAAAGGCAACAAGTGTTCCGCTAGACGATAGTCCTCAGACCATAATTCATGTTTGAACTAATTATTTTTCAACCATCAAACAATTAATTTCACCAACTCATGACCTTCTACATGAGTTATGACTAATGACTTTGTTTCACAGGAGTAAAGGTAAAAGCTTGCAATTATTTTTCAAACATCATAAAAGAAAATTCCACTAACTTAAATGGACATGTTATAAACTAAAATGATATAGTCTATCCATTCCCAATTGGAACGACAATAAATCTAAGAGCACTACGAGGGGTGTTCATAATCACTGCTCGGCAAATGGAAAATGTATATACTACCCGTGCTTTTATGTTAAAAGCGTCCCTGGTACAGTCATAAACATTTCTTGCCTGTGGCCCCTAGTTGCTCAGATAGTTAGTAAACGTGCTATCATTTGTAGTTGAGGAATAAAGGCTCGGCTAGCTGGACTAGCTGAATACTAATATTTTGTCCGTTTCACAATATTTCTTTATCAGTGCCGTGTGTTCGTGGGGTTAGGTGAGGTAGTGAGTGGTTTTGCAAACCGGTTTTTGAGAACTTTTTCTAGAGATCAATTAAATTGCTTGTCCTGAAGATGCTACAAGGTTAGGTTAGGTTAGGCTAACAAGGTTAGCATCTTCAGGACAAGCAAATTAACACTGAATCTAAAGACAAGGGTTAGCTGTTTATATACCTAAAGTTTTTAGGTCCGATGTAGACTTTGTTTGTCAAATGATGATTATCCTGATTGATTTTTCGGTAATTAATCAGTGAAACCACTACCTGCAAATTAATTTGTCAACAATAGATTGAAAAGCCGACAAATTAATTTGCAGGTAGTGGTTCCACTAGTTAATTACCGAAAAATCAATTAGGATAATCATCAGTCAACAAACAAAGTCCACATCGGACCAAAAAACTTTAGGTATATAAACAGCTAACCCTTGTCTTTAGATTCAGTATCAATTTGCTTCTCCTGAAGATGCTAACCTTGTTAGCGAAACGCGCTTTGAGTGCAAAAATATCAGTTTGGTGCTAGGGTAATTGATCTCCAGAATTCTCAAAATCTGGAGGCAAAATTGCGTACCAAATATGAGGGGTAACCATCAAGACTAGTTTCCATTATGATATCCAATGAAATAATGTGTTTTCTATTGAGTTTGGGGTACTAAACAAAACGAAATAATATTACTGCAATGATCAACAGAAATATTATATTTTGATGGTATTGAATATGAAAATATAAACTTTGTAAATATATAATTATGGTAATGTTATCATACTGAATGTTTTGAAGATTTTTTCACAAGAGGTCACACAACTGACTACAATACAACGTATTATTCGCTTCTGTAAAAGAAATTCGTTATTGAAATCAGAGGAGACGCACCAAAATACTTTTCCATATCTCAAGCGTGACTCTACTTGTGCGTGACACATCATAATCAGCTGATTGTGTGACAGAACAGACTCCAAATTTCTGGATAGATAAGCAACAGAACTGATTCTCCAGATAACTAATTTTTCTAGTTAAGGCTCTCGGCAAATTTGTGGTCCCAGGAATTTCACTTTCTCTTCTCTAGTACCATTAAATATTATTAAAGGTACCCCGCTATATCAAAACTGAAATTGATACACACTTACTTTTGTTTCAGTGAATTATATCAAAGGGGTCAGTATTATCAGTTATGAGCTGATGTGACACTATAACAGAAACAAATATAGGTGTGAATATATTTTCTTACTCATGCGAAGCAGGTATATTTTGAAAACAAAAACAGTTACAATACACTAATATTTCAAGGAAAACGTATGTAAATATGTTAATTATTGGCATTTCATCCAAAAACTCAATAAAATAAATGAATGATTCTGACTTAGTGAGAATCAACAATAACATCAACTACTACCGCAATGTATTCATTCTATGGTAACATTTTTTTCTTTATTAGTCAGTGGGCTATGACTTCGGGTCGATGATATTTCATAATTGACTTTAGGTCGATGATATTCCATAATTGACTTCAGGTCGATGATGGCCACTATCTTGCACTGACGAGTGGCTAATGAGCCTGAAACCAGTCTGCAAGTGTGGCCGTTCCAAAAGTCAATTATGGACTATCATTGACTTCAGGTCGATGATAGGTCAATGATGGCCACTATCTAGCACTGACGGGTGGCTAAGGAGCCCGAAACCGGTCTGCAAGTGTTCCCGTTCCAAAAGTCAATTATGGAATATCACTTTAGATCGATGACATTCCATAATTGACTTTAGGTCGATGATGGCCACTAGTTTGCACTGTCGAGTGGTTGATGAGGTCGATACCGGTCTGCAAGTGTGCCCGTTCCAAAAGTCAATTATGAAATGATATTGACTTTAGGTCGATGATGACCACTATCTAGCACTGACGGGTGGCTAAGGAGCCCGAAACCGGTCTGCAAGTGTTCCCATAGCAAAAGTCATTTATGGAATATCACTTTAGGTCGATGACATTCCATAATTGACTTTAGGTCAATGATGGACACCATCTTGCACTGACGAGTGGCTAATGAGCCCGACACCGGTCTGCAAGTGTGCTCGTGCCTAAAGTCAATTATAGAATAATATTGACTTTAGGTCAATGATGGCCACTATCTATCACTGACGAGTGGCTAAGGAGCCCTAAATCGATCTGCAATTGTTCCCGTTCCAGAAGTCAATTATGGAATATCATTCATTTCAGCTCGATATTCCATAACTGACTTTAGGTCAATGATGGCCACTATCTTGCACTAACGAGTGGCAAATGGGCCCAAAACCGGTCTGCAAGTGTTCCCGTTCCAACAGTCAATTATGGGATAATATTGACTATAGGTCGAAGATGGCCACTATCTAACACTGACGAGTGGCTAAGGAGCCCGAAACCGGTCTGCAAGTATTCTCGTTCTAAAAGTCAGTTATGAAAAATCATTGACTTCAGGTCGATGATATTTCATTGACTTTAGGTCGATGATATTTCATAATTGACTTCAGGTTGATGATGGCCACTATCTTTCACTGACAAGTGACTAATGAGCCCGACACCGGTCTGCAAGTGTGTCCGTTCCAAGAGTCAATTATGGAATATCATTGACTTTAGGTCGATGATGGCCTCTATCTAGCACTGACGAGTGGCTGAGGAGCCTGAAACCAGTCTGCAAGTGTGCCCGTTCCAAAAGTCAATTATACAATATCATTGACTTTAGGTCGATGATATTCCATAATTAACTTTAGGTCGATGATGGCCACTATCTTGCACTGACGAGTGGCTAATGAGCTCGACACCGGTCTGCAAGTGTGCTTGTTCCAAAATTGACGGTCGACTCTTTCAGTTGTATTGCCAATTACATATGCAGGAAATTTTCTGTGAAGATTCCTGCACTGAAGCCTGTCGTAGTATTAGCCAGGGGAGTAGTTGTTTTCTGATAGGCGTCAGTACATTCAACCTACTGTCTATAGATTTCTGTCATAAAATTATAGATATGATTGACGGAGGTGAATGCGCTGCTGCAATATTCTGTGATTTGTGTAAGGCATTCGACTATGTTAATCATGACAAGCTCGTATCATTATTGGGAACATATAGTTTGCGAGGTTCAGTACATGAATGGATCTCATTTTTATCGAATCGAAAACAAATAGTCATCTCACAATTTATACATGGTAGAATAACTAAAATTATCGAATAATCTGAGACTGGGAGTTTGACTAGGGGTGTGCCACAAGGCTCGAAATTGGAGCCCATACTTTTTATTCTGTACGTGAATCATCTGGATCACATTATTGGAACAAAGCATTACACTGCATTCTCATTAATTGTTTCCGATTCAGATACGAAAATCTTGGAAAAAAATGTAATGATACCATAAATAAAGTAGCAATTTTTTCCAATGGACGTGACTTTTTTGCCAATCTTGACAATATACAAATTATAAGTATTCACAATCGTCAAAAAAACGTAGAAAATCTGCAAATTCTCATTGAAGACACAGTTCTGACTAATTCTCACGGACCGGAAAAAAATTTATAAATTCATGTAGATGAATTCTTAAACTGGAAACCGCAATGTGAACAATTGATTCAACTCATGCACGAGATATTTTCACCATGCAAAAACGAATTGTGAGATGTATTTTCGAAATTCCACGGATGGGTTCATGAAAAAATATTTATGAAAGTTTCAATATACTGACAGTACCTTGTTTATACATATATGAATTATGTTTATACGTTTTTCCAGAACACACAAGAATTCCTGCAAAATATGGATATACACGAACATGATACGAGACAAAAAAGTAACATCAGAATGAAAACAAAAGCCTGAATATTTCCTCAAGTGCTCCTGATATATTAGGCCCAAAAATGTTCAACATTCTGCCAAAGGAAATAAAAACTTTTGACTCCGTACTTACTACTCTTCAGAAGAAGGCTCAAATTGTTTTTAACTGACAAATCATTTTATAATATAAATGAATTTTTATTATTTCATAACGTATGAAACACATGTACTTGTGTTTTGATGAACATTTCATTGATGATCAGCCGCATATCAATGAACTAAAATTGCACAAAAACATGTATAAATAGTCTCAATTGTGAACGTCCGGTTATAGAAAAAACATTATCCATCGAATATTTGGGTACCGTTATTAATCAACACAAAGGATGAGACTACTGATTTTTAATATATCATTCTTTGGTAGAATCCATAATGAGATATTGCATAATAGCATGGGGGGACATTAGTTTTAATGAAAGAAAGAACAACGGAATGAACTACTTTTCAGGAAAGATAGAAACTTGACATTGTTATTGTTTCAGAATAATTCTTTTCGATTTTGGTAACACGTCGAATTGAAGATTTTGAAATGGATATATTAAAAAAATTCTACGCCTATATACTAATTTGCAATCTCAACGAAAGACATCATGAGAATGTAAACTATTATCAACTCACCGTTTTGTTGGTTCCAACCAACGCGAATAAAATAATTAATAAACACCACATTTTTTCAATGTGAAACACTAGTACTGAAAGAGATTGATATTTGGCAGAGAGCATTAACGTTAAATGATAGGACTAATTATTTTTGGGGCTCAGATAAGATCGATCACTTCAGTTTTAACCAACTTGATAAGTAGAGTTTGCAACTTCTGGCGGGGAATGGATCTATTGAAACAACCAGAACTAAATGGCTGTCTCTCAGCGTACGTTTCAATAACCAAGTTAGCATCATCAGGAAATGACTGAAACTGACCTATATTAAAATCAATTTTTGATCACAATCGACATTCACCTACCTGTTACTTGACGATAATTATGAACACTACCCATGAAAATAATTATTCAACTACCACACAAAGTCGAAATTTTGATATTGAGGTCGGAATTTCCGAAAAACAAATAATGAAGAAATGTAGCCCTTCTGCGCTTCCGTAAATGAAGGGTCTTTCGAATTTTGACAACTGATGAGGGCTTTCTTGAGGAAGCTACGTCTGTCAAATTATTTATCATTCATTCGGTCTATTTTACCAAATCACCATGTGCGAATATAGCATATTATGTGCAAATAATTAATTTATTTTATCAGAATGGATGTTGTGTTCGGGCGACACTTCGCCCTTTTTACGGTCGCCATAGTCGTCCAAACAATAGGATTTATCGCAATGTGGTGGATAAATTCGAGTCTACTGGTTCAGAAAACATTCGACCAACACTCGTATGTAACGTAACGTAACGCAAGATCTGCCGAAAAGAGACAGTCGGTTTCACGTCGCTCACAAGAACTCAGCTTTCATAGACCACAACTTGGCAAATTGAATCGTGACTTGGATCTGCACTCATACAAAATTCAACTGACCTAGGAACTGAAGGTAAACGACCTGAAAGAGACCTTAAAATAATCCAAGAGTGGTTTAAAAATCGGCTTTTAACAGTGAACACCGAGAAAACACATTTCATACCTTTAACCTCATACGTGAAGAACTTACTAGAATATGACACCCTTCAAATAGATGGCCAACATATTAAATATTTGGGAGTATTCATAGACTGTAATTTGAAATGGGACATCCATATCGCCTTCGTCTTTAAGAAACCACGAAGTACATTGTCAAAGTTCAAATATCTATCGAATATTTTGAAAATTGATCAGCTTCGGATATTATATAATGCCCTAGTTGAACCACACTTAAATTATGGAATATAAGCCTGGGGAGCGGCAAAAAATAATTATACCAAACAACTGGAAAAAATACAAAAGTGGATCATCAAAATAATATTTAAGAAACCATACACTTACCCCACTGATGATTTATACCGCGAAACGAAGTTATTTGATCTTCGACAACTATATTTTCTATCAGCAGTAATGCGACAGCATACTCACAGAAATACACTGATAGCCATAAACCATAACTGCAGTACACGTCACAAAATCAATTCTTCTGTTATACCAAGACAAGAAAAAAACACCATACAAAGAAGTTATGTCTACTTGGGACCCAAATTATATAGCTTGATCCCTCATGAAATGAAAGAATATAATTTCATCATTTATTTGAAGCAAAAATTAAGGAATGGATAAGCGCCCAGTCACGCCTTTCCATCCATCAATATAATCATATAAAAAACATTTATTACAATTTGTTATAAAAAAATCACATAGAAATCATTGCTCTATAATATAAGTATCCTTTCATTATAAGTATTCTTTCGTTACTGTTTCTTTGGTATTCATATTTAATATATAAAACATCATTCTCTCTTCATTCAAAACTTTTTCCATGATACTTTATATATACATTGCTTTCAATTTTATATTTGCAACACTATTTTTACATTTCATATATTATCTTCAACGATGAGGTCCATTTCTGGATGAATGTGTACGTGAACAAATGAAATTGTCGACACCAATCCACATGAGATAAAAGTGCGTCCAATACATCCCGAAAAAATTTATGTTCACTAGTTCACTGTGAATTTTGGGCTGGCGGCGTCATCGATCCATATTTCTTTAAGAACGACGGTTGACCAGGCCATCACTGTCAACGACGAGCAGTATAGGTCGGTGATTACCAACTGCTTCTGGCCTGAATTGGATGATATGGATACCAACGACATGTTCTTTGAACAGCATGGCGCTACATGCCACACAGCTCATGCAGTATTGGATATTCTGAACGAGCAGGTTGAGGGCATGATCATGTCACGTGGAGGTGATATAAACTGGTGATTTGGCCCCGTTAGACTTTTCCTTGTGGAGTTTTCTTAATTCGCTGTGAAAGTTATACATAAAACAAGGAAATAAAATTCAAATATTTTTGTGTTGCGTGTAATTTTTCGGCTGATCCAAGGTCGGTGATTTCAAATCTACCTTTCTCTTTGTCTCCAAGAGCTTCAGTTTTTTGAATACAATAATTAACTGTATCCCAACTATTTATGTAACATCTGTGTGTAGAAGTATCAGAACGTGTACTCGGAAAAGGTACCCACGTTATCGCGTTTGAAAAGGCCCAAATATTCGATGAAACTTGGAACTACTGTCTAGGACTACTCAGAGAGACAGGAATTCAAAAACTCAGAAACAAATTCAGTCGAAAGGTAGAGTTACTTATCAAGAACCTTGGCTACCTGCTTTTGACTGCATACATACAGATCAGTCAGTTCAGATCAGTCAATTCAGCCAATAGGAATAAACCCACACCAACCATTACTGATCTGCTGTGATGGCTACTGGATCACTACGTCTGTTGCATCTTCGTTCTTGGTAATTTCTGCCGCAACCACAAACGAAGTGCCAGACATGAAAACCTGCACTTCACGGTCCAGAATGCAATTAAAAGGCTTCGATACAATAAAACAAATTGCTCCACTCCGGAAAATATTTTTTCTATTTCTTTGTAAAGACTTAAGAGGTGAACCACGTATGAATATCATACTAAATACATCAACATAGTAGCTATCAACAACGTCAAACTAGCAACTTCCCTAATCCCGCTGTTTCCGTAAATACCGAAAACCAAAACTCGTTCCTCTGGCCCATTCGTTGAAAACACTATAGACCTTGTACCATTGTTGACTTCGGAATGGTAAGTCGTGTTAAAAACCGGCAACAGATCAGTTGTCAACGTCACTGGCTGGTAGAATTTGGTGTGAACATCTTTGACGTTAGTTTTGATGGAAATGCTTTGGAATTTTGAGGTTACGGTTACGTTTGCGGTTCCGCAAGTAGAGGAATCAGAAGTTTCGCAGGCTAAGAGGGAGCATATCCTCACATCGTTTCGTTTGAATTCTCCCAATGAGTATTGTCCTGTGTGAACCATCAACCTACAAAATGAATAAGGTTAAAGTACCAAATATTTGAGGTACGTCACATATAGGCATGAAATATACAAAGGCAGAATCTAATATGAATTTTGAAATCGAGAACACAATCAAGATAGACGGCACACATTTCAAGAATACTGTGAGAGAAAATCTTAGGGGAAGTCATAGTCAAAAAAAACCGTTCAAACTATAATAGACTCTATCAGAGAGTAGAACTGTGTAGAACAGCCTACTTACTTTTTGAAATTTGGATTACTTGACCGAACAGCAATTGAAAAATAATGAACGACCCATTCAAGCCTTCAAGTGAAATACTTTTGTCGAAATTTTTATAGAATTCATCCGTTTTTGTTTTCGGAAACGCTGTCACTTCTCCAATCACAACTTGAGACGTTTTTCTCAAACTTTTATACTCACTTGTAGACTTCGGAAGTATTAACAGCCGAAAACAGGACAATTTCGAAGGAGCAACAGAAAGAACCTTCGCAAATGTCTTCAGAAATGTTTTGATGCGTCAAATTCAAGTCCTTGAAGGTATAGTGATCACTGTCGAAATATCTGCGAGCTTGAAAGTTCTCCAGGTTATTTTTGATTCTCTTCGGAAGTTCAGATTCCAGACAGTTCTGAAAAATTATATTATTTCATTATAGCAGCATTAAGATACTGTAACATATATGAGCAGTTATCCGCCACACCAACCTCCTTGGTATAAATTGAACTCACTTTACATGTATTTCTTCATTTGAAAAATAGTTATTTATTATACAAGGGAAAAAAGTATCGATTATTCATCATAGTTTCTTCGGAAGTTTTCATTAAATTTAAGATTTTTTATTTTAATGATTTGTAAATTCATACTCACATTGTCACTCATTGGGTCTTTAACTACACTGAACAATGGTTTCCCATTCCATCTATCAACATCCTCAGAAATATAGTAGCACAAGGCATTACCGTTAGATCCATAGATGCCACTGCCTCCAATCCCTTGCGAGAAGTTGTGATTGGTCGCCACAAGGAGGTTGACATTGTTGGCCATTGCGTATCCACTGTGGAATGACATTGCTGAAATTTCAAATGAAATATCTTCAGAATCCCTAATTGTAAGCTAGATTTTGCACATTTAGAAGGCTTGGTGGTATTACAATTTTCCGAATGTGCCTTATTGTTGCCTTGCTGGCAAGTGAGGTCCTGACAAACAGTGGAAAACCAATCTTATCCTATCAAATTTCATGATTTGAAAGCAACGATGGATAATACTGTGATTGGGAGTGTAATTGGATTGTTTACCGAAAACATTACTGGATATATTATGAAAGACTTTCAAACAACAAGCAGTTTTAGTTCAAAAAGATATCAGCAGTAACAAAAGAAAGTCGTTTGAGTTACATTGGACGGTCTATATCAGTGGCTAAATATGAGTTGCAAATCCACTAGCAGCATCAATACCGATAATTTTCCTAAAACTCATGAAGAGTTTTCAATTTTCTGAAATGAGAATATAAGAAAAAAATCAATTCTCAGATCAAATCAATTCTGTTACCTGAATGACGAGAAATTTCAACCAGAACATTCGAAAGTATAATTATCGGAGATAGAGTATTCGAATATATGAACATAGTACACAGAATTTCACTGTTAAAATCCATCGTGCCTTGACATTAGACCACGGAGCCAGTACCCACGTCAGTCAACTTGAGTATTTGTCAAATTTACCTGAATGTTTTCTTGTACATATATGTGATGATTTTTCTATATATATATGATTTTTCCATATANCCATCCACCGTGAATCAGCCTGTATATATTGAGTTAAGCGACCTTGACCTTCTTCGTAAAACAAAACAAAAGCAATTGCACCTTTCTTCAACACGCGTGTAGCATCGATATGTGATGTGCCATTATATCGGTAATTAGAAACTTCCTTTTTTTCAAATCCCCTGTTCTCCAATGCAAGCGCCGTCACTGATTTCAGCTTATTTATACTCACAATGGAAAAATGGTAATGTGGAGAACCAAGCAGTTGGAAGAATAACATCTGTGATCGATGAATTTTCCAGAATACTTCTAGATGGATTGTATGACAGCATATCGTAACCAATGAACATTCCAAATGTTACATTGAAATCAGTTGTGAAAATGGAAGTATTTTGGATTGGATCGCCAGGAGTCAACATCGGTTCGTTGTACAAATTCACTTTTCTGTATCTGAAATAAAACGCAATTTACCACTGCAATTTCAGGCCATAGCCTTCATTTATGAAGCCACTTAAAACATGTTCCATTCACATAAACATCGTTGATGACAATGACTACTTACTTTGCTACTACTGACATATTTTTATCAAAAACAACATTAGTGTTGTAGTAAATTGTTTCATTCTTGCTCTTCGGCACTTTCTCCAACAAATTCATCGCTACATACATTTTATCTTTGGCTGCTTGAGCGATTTTGTACAATATCTGAAACTTTAAGATCATAGTGTGATCAAATAGTGATCAAATAGTGATCAAATCGAACGTTAAAAGTATTTCTGGAAAAGGCGTTTTTGATACCGATATTTTCAAGTTTTTTAAAACGAGCTTGGTATTGAAATTCTATTTATTCAATAATTCATTCCATCGACAGGCAAAATTTATAGATACGACAAGTTACTGACTATAGTATAACAATTTTCAATTGAAGGTAACTCATATTCAAATTGAACTGAGAGCTAACGGCAACAATGTTAAATGTTAGAACTAAATTCTTACCGGGGTCATTTTTATTGTCTATGCATCGTCATTGAAAATAATTGAAAAGTAAGATGATTCCATGAAATTTGCCCCCCGTAACAAGAATGCTTCTGCATATCGATAGGATGTACGAGCGATTAGGTGAACCAGTTCGTTAAATACTTTGAAACATCGGTAAACTGATCAACACATCGCAGGTCTATTATATTTGCGTCCTTAAAATGCCATAACTAGTCATTCGGTTTCTTCATTATCAAGCGTCCTTATCTGCACAGGCGTAGTGTGTTCTGTTTCTTGTGAATGTGACTTTGTTTTGTATTTATTGAATATATTTTATTATATTTATTAAATAGACTGTTATATTTATTAACTTCAAAATATAAGCTAGAATTGGCCGATATTTGTTTTTCAAAATACATTATCATAGATTTTCATCACATTCACACTTTATTGTGAGATAATTAGTTGACCTAGTTATTAAACTCAGGTATAAATATTCGTTAAACTCAGGTATAACTGTCATTAATTAGTTCCTGGAGTATTATTAGTTTCTCGGTAGATAGTAATATTTCAAAAAGTATATATAAATCACAATGTATGTAGAATTCAGATTGTTAGTGAACACGCTTGAAAAAGCTACTGTGCAGCGAAACACGTGTTGCGGATTTGTTAATCTGTTCTAGGGAAAATCTCACAATAAAGTGTTTTTCAGAAACATTAACTTTAAAATAGTTTTTGAGGTAAGTAAACAACTGACAAATAGCTGAATAATGTGATTCAATTTTATTATTTTTATAGTATTGAGATGGATGCCGTAGCAGGTCCATGTAATGTACAAAGAAAGCGAAAGTTTATGTCGTTAGAAGAAAAACAGATTGTCTGTAGAGTATACGAAAATTTAAAAATACACTCCGTACAGTGGAAGCTGTAGCCCAGTGTTCATTTTCAACGGGAATATCCGTGTCGACAATTGAACGCATTGTACGGGAAAAAAAGGTGACTGGGATTGTGCAAGCTCCAAAAGTACATTGTCATGGTAGAAAAAAAATTGAATTGGACGAGAATCAGAAAAATTTTGTGCGCTATACCATTCATTCTTTCTTTTTTGAGAATAAAGCGCCAACCCTCGAATCCATTAGAACAAAGGTAATGGATAATGATCCCATTCCAAAAATGAGCAAAGAGAAGTTAAGGAAAATAATAAAAGAAGATTTAAAATTTATATATGCCAAACGATTCCGTGAATCTGTCTTAATAGAAAGAGAAGATATAGTCTTATGGCGACGGAGATATCTTCGCTCTATTAGAGAAATGCGTTCTGCTCACAAAAAGATTTATTATCTGGACGAAACGTGGGTGAATGCTGGTCACACAGTATCTAAGATCTGGCAAGATATTACTGTAACTAGTTATCGTCAAGCATTTGTGGACGGTTTATCAACAGAGTTACGCGGACCAACGGGTAAACGGCAACGACTAATTGACGCCCATATAGATAGCGAGAGTAGCTTTTTAAACGATAGTGCACTAATTTTTTTATCCAAAAAAACAGGGGATTATCACGAAGACATGGACGCCAACGCTTTGAAGGATGGTCTGAATCCCTTCTTTCACGAGTCGAGCCAAATTCGGTAATAGTAATGGATAACGCTTCTTATCACATCCAAATGGTTGAACAGCTGCCAACTATAACCACCAGAAAAGCAGACATGCAGAGTTGGTTAGGACAAAAAGAAATTCCATTTTCCGAGGATTTGGTTAAGGCCGAAGTTATGACTGTCATTAAACAGCATCGTGACAGATATCGCCAGCATGTGATGGATACAAATGCTGAAGGTATCACCATTTTGAGACTTCCTCCTTACCATTGCGAGTTAAACCCGATATAATCAATCTGGGCTCAAATTAAGGGTTACGTAGCTCGTGAAAACGTTAAATATAAAATTTTTGATGTGCAACGTTTATTAGAACTCGCAATGGAACGAATACGGAAAGAAGATTGGGCTAATGCTGTAGCACATGTGATCGAGGAAGAAGAGAAAATGTGGAGATTGGACGGGATGGTAGACACTGTTTTCGACCGAATCATAATAGATTTAAGTGTGACTGGGGATTCTTCTTCGGACGAGTCAATGGATTCCGAAACTTCATAAGCATAACATAGTTAATTATTTCTTTGCTTTGTAGTTCTCTTTCTATATAAAAGGAGCATAATAATTATTTTGTAAATTTTTCTGTTTTTTTGAAGTACTGTATTAGGCATAATAAGAAAATGTAATCAGTTTTACCATTGACACCAGGTAGCGCCACCTACTACAACAATTTTTACGTAATTACCTATGTGTATAAATAAATGAAAATATTATTTCGGTACGCCTCTGCAGAGTTGGTAAGAGGATTATCCGTCAGTCACTTCAAGTGCGACGTTGCTAATGAATCACCTTCAATTGAAAATTGTTATAGTATAACTGGAATTTTCAAGACAATATAATTCATTAAAAAATACTGTCAAGGAGACAAGTATATCTCTATTATTATAAACCAAAGAGGCAATGATCTCTAACATTGTTATTTGAATTTAACAATTTGAATTAGACTTGTGCTCTGGTATCCGAAAAGGTCTAGCACGCGGGCCTGATCTGGAAGCTTATCCAAATTCAACTCCCACTACATGTCATTAGACTAGTAGCCTCCTATCTCACTAATTGACAAATCCGCGTCAGAGTCGAACAAGCCCTGTCCTCTCCCCCATACACCAAAATCCGGAGTCCCCCAGGGCACAGTCCTAGCCCCTTCAATATTCCTAACGTATGTTAACGACGCCCCATCTACTCAAAAAATCCTACAATATGCCGATGACACAATCCTCTACTCCTCCGCCCCTAATACCCGCATCTTACAAACACAATCCCAAACAATGATAAACCACTTCGAGTACTGGTGCAACAAGTGGGTCATCAAAATGAACCCCTCCAAAACCCAAACCATCCTTTTCAAACATCCTAATACCACTACTCGCCTCAGACTAAGTACTAACAACTTGCACCTCAGATTGTTAGGAGAGAAGCTCCAACTTCACAACTCGGTGACCTACTTGGGGGTTACTTTCACGAGTACCCTCAACTGGGAGACTTACCTTAAAGAAACTCTGGACAAAGTCCGGAAAAGAGCGAGCTCGGTAGATGCGACTCTTTTACACACGTACAAAATGTTCATGAGACTGATCTTGGATTTTAAAGCCACGATCTACTGCACGCTTTCCCAAAGACGAACCCCCAGCATACTAACAACCGAGTGAGGAATCCTACGGAACATCCATAACCTCCCATTCCGATACTCTTTCCAAGATGTATATAACCGAATAAATATTACCCCAAACAACTTGAGATTTCAGGAACTACAAGGACGAAACGCTGCGAAAGCCATGAAAAGAATAACACCGCTGCCATCATGGACGCCATGTGGAGGAGCCAGAAGGATACCAAGGAAAAAGCTCCCGTTTCCCCTAGGGAGTTTTCTGGTAGCAGTGGAAGACCCGACGAAGCAAATCCATGATATCCTTGAGAAGTACCCAGTGGTGATCAGATAAAGGAGCACGGCCTGGGACACCCTGGACTCTCAGGCATGCTTCCCTCGGCCAAACAAAAACACGAACCCTCAAGAACGACCACTGCTATAGACACAAACACTGCAACCAATAACGCAACTACTAACGCTGACAATTTTAATTTATATTATTTATAAATGAACCCAACCCTGAAGAAGCATAAGCGTATAACTGGGCCTCCTTATATCATTATACCTATGTAACTTGTACTGTCAATCCAAAAATCCAGCCTCCAGTGGAGTACCCCAAGGTAGTAACCTAGTTCCACTCCTATTCTTGTTATTCATAAACCACAATAGTATCAATATCACCATCATATTGCTATTTGTCGACAATTTGAAAATTTTCAGAGTTATAGGACCAAAACGACCTAAAATTTCTATCAGACTGGTGTATAGTGAACACAAATTACCGATAAACGGCAATGAGTGCAAATGTACAATCTCAGCATTAGCTAACATTCGTTAAAGTGAGCAAGATGTTCTGAAGGCTATATTCACGTTAACATTTTTGAAAATACGATATTTCATTTTCCACAATAGGTAACTCTGAAGATTAGAAAATGAAAGGTTGACATTGAATGACTAAATTGACATGATAATTCACCTAGGCATTCAAGAAATCTAAGAGTTTTGTATATTAGATCAATTATATATAATAATTTGCCAAATTCTTCAAACAAGTCAGCAAAAAATAAGAATCTAAGAAAATATATTCTGTAATAAACTATTAGATTATCATCGATATTTTAAATAGTTCATACATCTTTATTCAAGGGAATTGGTTAAAACGTTCTTTTGTTTTCTTTATATTGTTCTTTCTTCCCTCTCATAAACAGTGTATCTGTTTCAAGAAATTAATTGTTTTAATTATTATCATCATCATTATTGGTTGGCTTAGGAGGCCTTGCCTGCGGCCAAATGTTTTCCCTCACTTCAGATTTTCCGTTTCCGTCTTCATTTCTTCATTTCATTAAAGAATTCACATAAATTTGACACTAAACTCAAACCACGGTAATCCATTATAAAGTCAAGCTCCGTCGACGGAAAAAGAAATTGCTTCCTTTTTCTCTCTGCCACTTTCATAGCAATTTATTATACTCACCTTTTCAGTTAGTGTGACTTGTGCACCAACATCGGGAACTTCTAGAGCGTAATTGGTAGGATCTTCAACCATTCCGGTGAAACCATATTCAGGAAATACAATTATTTCAGCATGATGATCCTGAAAATTTATATCATTTGAAAACCAATGGCCACCACTTACTCAAAATTATAGTTATTATAGATATTTTCACAAAACACCAATCGAAAATTGGACTGATAAGTATTTTTTTTATAAAATTTGATTTTATTATTCAAGATAGTTAGCTTCAAAATAGGCCTCGGTTTCGACGATTACCTCATCATCAGCACTATTTTTTTTTTCAGCAAGCATTCTCTTGAGGTCTGAGAACAGGAAAAAGTTGCTGTCACTATTATCCGTGTCATCGGAGATTAACTCAGGATGCATAAACCTCTGAGGAAGGTAGCCACTCTCACCAGAGAAGGTCAGAAAGCAATTCTAGAAACACGAAAAACCTCGGTCGCGAAAGCCTAAACCATTTTGTCATAATCGTATTATATTGATTACATTTTAATTTACTTTCGATATATGTGTATTTTACAATTTTGACATCTATTCAGTTGATTGAAAATACTTCAAAAATTAATTAAAATACATTGTATTATTTCTCAGTTGGTCACTTCTAAGAATAAAAATATACCTGACACTTTACAGGATTACTGGATTACTAGAAGCAGGGGTCCCACAAGGTATAATCCTTCCGCCACAACTCTTCTAGGTTTACACAGCAGACATACCCAAGCCTGAGAACAACTTTAACGGGTTAGCTTTCTACATGGACGACACAGCTCTGCTGGCGAGATCAACTAGCCATGCGCAAGTTAACAGATAATTGCAACAGCAAGCGGACAGATCAAAGGAATGGGCCAACCTTTGGAAGATCAGCATAAACCCTGACGAGAGTCAGGTAATACTGTTCACCCGGAAGATGTGACACCCGGAAGGCAACGTCACCGTCAACGGACAAGAGATTCTTTCACACTATTCATTCATGAAAATACTCACAGTTTTTGTAAATGGAATAAACACAAACAGACAGGAAAGAAGATAAAGCATTTTCTTCATTATTGATACCATATTGCTGAAAATCAATCAAGTTTTGATAGTGGATTATTAATGGCAAGAATTATTTAAATATCTGCCTTGACAATCAGCCAGAGATATAAGAATTTTTATTTTTTGAGATTTGCAAATAGATTATTCGTTATTCTAATGTTCATTAAGTATGATAAACGTTTCCATTAGTGTTGACATTTTGATATAATCAGTGAAAAAGTTATAAATATAACAGAAAGTATTTCCACATATCTTTTTTAGTTGAGCCATTATACTGAGAAACTCATCTATTATTGCAACGAAGTTTCAAGTTTCGATAAGCATTTGTCAAAGTTTTTCAAAAAAGTCAGCTTGAAATTGGTGATCTCTACGTGGAATGTATTAAATTTCTAATACGTAATGATACGAGATACATCTCAGTTAGACATCCACTGGCTTTGAATAAAAACAGAAATGTTGGTGTTTTTATCGTTTTAAAAAATCTACAACCAACCCCCCATTGATTTAGCTACATATTCAAACCAACCAATAAGAGATCGCCCGTCTAGAAATCTTTCAACATTGTCACTTTGATTTTTCTGAATCAATTCCATAACAAAATATCATTTCAAGAAACCTGAGAATATAGAAGGGTTCTGTCTGTGGGTAGAGTAAGGAGGGGGAGTATAGGCCCACAGCACTTAGGCCTCAAGTGACGCATTGTACATCCTCCCGAGGAGTTGTCTTCCTAGGTCATCGCCCATCCTGTCCTTTCCAGGATGGTTGACAGGTCACTAGAAGGCATCTCCTTTATATCGACAGGCGTAGGCCAAGACTCGCCGAACATACACTTTCTTATTGACGATAACTCCGGACACTCGCATAAGTCATGTCTGACAGTTTCATTTTCCTGTTCACTCATCCTGCATAGAGGTATGTCCACTAGCCCCATAATATGGAGGTGTTTCCTCAGTTGACAGTGGCCAGTCAGAAATCCTACTGTTTGGCGTAGGTTTTTTCTGGTCATTGCCATATATTTATTCGGCAACAGCTTCCCAGGGTCGCACAAGGTGATCCTAGCAAGACTGCATCCTTTGATTCTATCCCATCTCTTTAAGAATTGAGCATGGGTTTGACGTTTGGATAGTTTTGCAATTGACGAAGTCATCAGGCCATGGGTGTAACTGGGTCCTAAAATTCTTAGTCCAACCGCTTTCTTGGCTAAAGAGTCGGCAATGCGATTACCTTTACTCCTGTCGTGCTCTTCAACCCACATCAAGATAATGTTATTATCTACCGAGGCTTTAACTAAATATTGGTGGCACTCTAGTACTAGCCCTGAGGAAACACGTTGTCTGTTCAAGGCTAATAGAGTCTACTATTAGTACAGATTATTACATTCTTCCCAACAGATAGTGGAAAGTTGAATCCCTAGAAAAACAGCAGGAATTATTGACTCTTTCAAAAAAATGTTTTGTAAAGAATATTCATAACCAATTTCCATCATATATCTACTATTTTTTCAATTATTATTGATCACCTTGCCTTTTTTTTTCTAAAAAGTATGTATAATTTCCTTCCTTCAATTCTTGATAGGCTTGCAATAAAAAGGCAATTTTTTTTTTCATTCAAAATCATCATGAATCAAAATCAATTTGAAAAAATTGTTATACTACAAAATTTCAAAAATCTGTAACATGAGATGAGTATTTCTTACTTATAGATATCAGAAGAGTTTCCAGAAGATACGATGATGTTGAATGAGCAACAGAAAGTTCCGTCGCAAATCCGGTCGGTGATATTTCCGTTGGATAAATTCAAATCTTTGAATTTGTAACTGTTGCTGTCGAAATTCCTTCCGGCTTTATAATTTTCCATCGAGGACTGGGTATCGTTTTCGTCCAGAATGTCGAATCCTTGGACCGCCTTCAAAACAATTGAATATTTTTATTATTTAAGCACTTCTTATTGTGGAATTTTCACACAAACATCAAAAATTGCAAGCAATATACTGGCTCTTTCATACGTGTCCAATATTGAACTAATTTACAATTGCTGTTACTCAAAGATTTAAACAAATAAAGTTTCATCATGGAAAACTTTAAGAAATAAAACACAATAAATTAGTGACGTTATACATTTCAACAGAATCAATCAATTGAGTGACTCCATTATCCTACCACCAATGTCATTGTTGTGAAATGAGTGTTACAGAGAAGAATTATTCAATTTGATTTGGTTATTGCGCAGTTGTTCTGAAAAAGACATATGTACTCTTTTATTCCAAAAGTTATACTCTTTAGTCAGTCATCATTATTCACTGTAAATTATTTTGAAAATGTTGAACTTTCATTCATAAAACACTTTTGTGTTCTTTCGTTCTTTTGATAGAAATTCTTTCCGTCTGACAAATATAAACGAAATTTTGACTTTAAACTCGAAATTTCGACTTCAATTGAGAAATTTCGACTTTAATCTGGAAATATCGACTTTGAACTCGAAATTACCACTTCACAAATAAAAATTTCGACTTTAATCATGAAATTACAAATTTTACCTCCAAATATCGACGTTAATTTCAACTTCGATTCCCAAATTTTGACTTTAATGGGGAATTTTGACTTTCAACTCGAAATTACGACTTCAAACCTTGAAATTTTGATTTCAATCTTGAAATTACGACTCGTATCTCAAAAATACGACTTTAAACTGGAAATTTCATTCTCGAAATAACGACTTTCAATCAGAAATTCGAGTACAATCCCGAAATTACGACGTTTCTTTCAAAATTCCAACTTTACTTTCGAAATTCTGACTTCAAACTCGAAATTACGAATTTCATCTCGAAACTTCGACCTTAATTCCGAAATGTTGACTTTATCTCGGAATTTCGACTTTAAACTCGAAATTACGACTTGAANGTGAATTCTCTTTCATGTTACTTCAGTTCCCCCTCACTATCCAAGAAACTGTTTCAAGCATTTTTCGATATCAGCTTTCGTTCGTGAGATATAGCCCATTGTAAGTTTTAAAATTGACACACTGTATAACATAGTAACTGTTCGGGTCTAAACTTGTCAGTTTGAACTCCATTACAATTCTGCTGATTCTCTAGTAATTCAACTTCGTTTATTTTCCAGATAGTGGAAAGTTGAATCCCTAGAAAAACAGCAGGAATTATTGACTCTTTCAAAAAAATGTTTTGTAAAGAATATTCATAACCAATTTCCATCATATATCTACTATTTTTTCAATTATTATTGATCACCTTGCCTTTTTTTTTCTCAAAAAAATTCTTAAATTTCTGTGATCATTGTATTACTCCTAAAAAGTATGTATAATTTCCTTCCTTCAATTCTTGATAGGCTTGCAATAAAAAGGCAATTTTTTTTTTCATTCAAAATCATCATGAATCAAAATCAATTTGAAAAAATTGTTATACTACAAAATTTCAAAAATCTGTAACATGAGATGTGTATTTCTTACTTATAGATATCAGAAGAGTTTCCAGAAGATACGATGATGTTGAATGAGCAACAGAAAGTCCCGTCGCAAATCCGGTCGGTGATATTTCCGTTGGATAAATTCAAATCTTTGAATTTGTAACTGTTGCTGTCGAAATTCCTTCCGGCTTTATAATTTTCCATCGAGAACTGGGTATCGTTTTCGTCCAGAATATCGAATCCTTGCACCGCCTTCAAAACAATTGAATATTTTTATTATGTAAGCACTTCTTATTGTGGAATTTTTACATAAACATCAAAAATCGCAAGCAATATACTGGCTCTTTCATACGTGTCCATTATTGAACTAATTTACAATTGCTGTTACTCAAAGATTTAAACAAATAAAGTTTCATCATGGAAAACTTTAAGAAATAAAACACAATAAATTAGTGACGTTATACATTTCAACAGAATCAATCAATTGAGTGACTCCATTATCCTACCACCAATGTCATTGTTGTAAAATAAGTGTTACAGAGAAGAATTATTCAATTGGATTTGGTTTTTGCGCAGTTGTTCTAAAAAAGACATATGTACTCTTTTATTCCAAAAGTTATACTCTGTAGTCAGTCATCATGATTCAGTTGTTGTGCTTCCACTGTAAAATATTTTGAAAATGTTGAACTTCCGTTTGACAAATATAAACGAAATTTTGACTTTAAACTCGAAATTTCGACTTCAATTGAGAAATTTCTGGAAATATCTGAAAATATCGACTTTGAACTCGAAATTACCACTTCACAAATAAAAATTTCGACTTTAATCATGAAATTACAAATTTTACCTCCAAATATCGACGTTAATTTCAACTTCGATTCCCAAATTTTGACTTTAATGGGGAATTTTGACTTTCAACTCGAAATTACGACTTCAAACCTTGAAATTTTGATTTCAATCTTGAAATTACGACTCGTATCTCAAAAATACGACTTTAAACTGGAAATTTCATTCTCGAAATAACGACTTTCAATTAGAAATTCGAGTACAATCCCGAAATTACGACGTTTCTTTCAAAATTCCGACTTTAGTTTCGAAATTCTGACTTCTAACTCGAAATTACGAATTTCATCTCGAAACTTCGACTTTAATTCTGAAATTTTGACTTCATCTCGGAATTTCGACTTTCAACTCGAAATTACGACTTGAAAACTCGAAATTTTTATTTCAATCTTGAAATTACGACTTTTATTTCGAAAATACGACTTCAAACTTGAAATTTCTTCTCGAATTTCAGTCTCGAAGTTACGACTTTCAACTCGAAATTTCAAATTCAATCTCAAAATTACGACATTTATCACAAAATTTCGACTTCAGTTTTGAAATTTTGAATTCAACCTTGGAACTTCGTCTCTAAACTCGAAATTAAGAGTTTTTACTTCGATTTTGAAATTATGACTTTTACCTCGAAATTTCGACTTCAAACTTGAAATTATGACTTAAAATTCGAAATTACGACTGTAAACTCGAAATTCAGAACTCAATCTCGAAATTACGACTTTTATCTAGAAATTTCGACTTTAATCTCGGAATTTCGACTTCAAACTCGAAATTACGACTTAAAATTCGGAATTACGACTGTGAACTTGAAAGTTCTAGTTCAATTTCGAAATTACGACTTTCATCTTGAAATTGCGACTTTTGTCTCGAAATTTAGACTTTTAACTTGGAATTTCGACTTTGAAATCGAAATTACGACTTTAAACTTCAAATTCAGAATTCAATTTCGAAATTACGATTTACACCTCGAAATTACGACTTTTATCTCGAAATTTCATTTAAAATTTTGAGTTCAATTTCGAAATTACGACTTTTGCTTCGTAATTTCGACTTCATTTCCGACTTCAGTCGCGAAATTTTAACTTTACACTCAAAATTTTGAGTTCAATTCCGACTTCAATCGCGAAATGTTGACTTTTGACCCAAAATTATGACTTCAAAACTTAAAATTTCGACTTCAATATTGAAATTAAGACTTTAATCTCAAAATTTTGGCTTCAAACTCGGAATTTCGACTTCAAACTCAAAATTACGAATTCAATTCGAAATTACAACTTTTATCTCAAAATTTCGACTTTAATTTCGACTGTTATCTCGAAATTTTGACTTTAATCTAAAAACTCAATACTATGACTGAAATCTCAAAGTTTCATCTCTTCATTGAAAAGTTCGACTTTGAACTCGAAATTTCTACTTTAATGTCAAAAATACGACTTTGAACTCAAAATTTTCACCTGAACCTACAATTAGAGATTGAAGCCGAACTTCCCAGTTTAAAAGTCCTAGTTTCCAAGAAAAAAATAATAAAAATAAGTGACCTTTCTGCGCCTTCGTATCAATCAAATACCTACCAGAACCATCAGAACATTTGCAATTACTTTTGCACTGCAAAATTTTCCACAAACAAAAGTTAAATTCAACTTACGATATCTGTCACGGTATTACTGACTCTACCAATAGATAATTTGGAACTGGGGGTTCCTGAAATGTAGTATGAGAACACAATACCATTGCCACCGTAGACGCCACTGCCACCTACACCTTCTCGAATGTTGTCCACATTGGAGACGAGAAGGTTGACTTTGTTAGCCTGAGCATAGGCTGAGTGGAACTGCAGCGCTGAAAATCAAAGCATCAGTTAGAGTTAGCTTCGACGAATGGTTCAGATCAAGGGTAAGTAATCAATATCACATTCATTCCGGAAAAATCATTTTCGCGTGGTTGCAGTCAGTGACGTTTGGGCTCAATACAAAGAAAAATCTTCGATATCTGTCAAACTTTCGACAGTTACTGTCTTCTTCAGGATAATTGTAATACTTGTGGAAGTTTTGTCCAATGATACAAAAGTAATAATATTATTTATGATTATAAAGTGAACGTGAAAGTTAATCTCTCCCGTGAAAATGTTATTACAAAATTTTTTAAATAGTGACATAAGAGGTCAATTACTTTGATCAGATATTTTTGTCGAGGGATAGCTTTAGTTCATCTTTAACGTTTTTCTCGATGTCTACCGCATCGAATTGAAAACAACGATAACGAAATATCGCATGAATCGTTTGTTTGAAGGTGATTGATACTGTTTCATGATGAATTTCATTAAAATAGTATATTTCTTGAAATTATTTTTGTTTTGACCTCAGAATGTTAGGTATTTACCTGTACAACTTAATATATCTGAAAAACGCTTTAAAAAAACACATTTTGAATAGAATACTGAATGTTTCATTTGTGAAAATCAAGAAAAAATGGTTGAGTTTTGATTCACCCGCAGTACTGAAAAAAAAGAATGTGGTTATCAATAATCAAAATCCACATGTGGAGTTCGAAATTATCAACTTTGTAACATTTTTTATAGCATAACCTCTCAAATTTTTTGTACATACCTATGCAATCCTTCATTTTCTGAAAATAGTTTCCTAACGGAATCTGAATACGGAAATTGATATACTTATCTCACTCCGTTTAAAAAAAAGCTACTTTGATACGCCACATTTCTACAATTGCATTGATATTTGAAACTTTACATGAAACATTTTTCAATAACTCAACTGCTTCATACACACTGCTCATACACACTGTATGAAAAATCTACATCCTCTGGATTATCTTTTTATGCAAGCTTGAGAGAAGCACCCTTGAATTAAAGATTGATTCATAAGATGAATTAAGGGTTTAATGATGGGAGATTTCAAAACATGTACAGCAAAAAGACCAAAATGCTTAGATGAGACAAATTTGCAGCATTTGCTGAAAGTAGATTTATTATTATAGGCTCGGTTTTTTCTTCCTAGCGCATTGTTAAAGACCTTCCATGTTTCTCTACTTTCATTTTCAGCGTTCAATTATGGAGAAGTGATGATAAAAAATAGTAGTGGTTTCTTTTCTCAGAATGTTCACTCAAGATAACATAGAAGTGAAGAATAATTCAGGATTATTCTTCAACATTCAAAATTTCAATGAAAAAACAATTCACCATAAGTCACAATTTTTTGTATCAATATTCCTTATTATTTCAACAAGAACTTCGACTTTCACTCCATTCATTCAAGAAAATACTCACGGTTTTTGTAAATGGAATAAACGCAAACAAACAGGAAAGAAGATAAAGCATTTTCTTCATTAGTGATGCCAAATTGCTGAAAATCAATCAGGTTTTGATAGTGGATTATTACTGACACGAATTGTTTAAATATCTGCCTTGACAATCAACCAGAGATATGTCAATTTTTATTTCTTGAGATTGGCAAACAGATTATTCATTATTTGAATGTTCATTAGGTATGATAAACGTTTCTATGAGTGTTGACACTTTGATATAATCAATGAAAAAATCATTAGTGGGAACATAAATCAAACAGACGGTATTTCCACATATCTTTCTCAGTGGATCTAGTATACTGAGAAACTCATCTAATATTACAACAAAGTTTCAAGTTTCTATAATCATTTGTTTTTTCAAAAAAGTCTACTCGAAATTGGTGATCTATTAATGTATTAAATGTATTAAATTAATGATGTATTAAATTTCTGATACGTAATGATACGAGATACATCTCAGTTAGACATCCACTGGCTTTGAATAAAAACAGAAATGTTGACTTTTTTATCGTTACGTTCTAAAAAATCTACATCGAAACCCCCATTGACTTAGCTACATATTCCAACCAACCAATAAGAGATCACCTGTTTAGAAATCTTTCAATATTGTTACTTTGATTTTTCTGAATCAATTCCATAACAAAATATCATTTCAAGAAACCTGAGAATATAGAAGGGTTCTGTCTGTGTGTAGAGTAGGGGGGTGCGTGTAGGGACACACCACTTGGGCCACATGTGACCTATTGCACATCCTCCTAGGTCATCGCCCATCCTGTCCTTTCCAGGAAGGTGGACAGGTCACTAGAAGGCATTTCCTTCATATCGACAGGCGTAGGCCAAGACTCGCCGAACATACACTTTCTTAAGGACGATAACTCCGGACACTCGCATAAGTCATGCCTGACAGTTTCATTTTCCTGTTCGCTCATCCTGCATAGAGGTATGTCCACTAGCCCCATAATATGGAGGTGTTTCCTCAGTTGACAGTGGCCAGTCAGAAATCCTACTGTTTGGCGTAGGTTTTTTCTGGTCATTGCCATATATTTATTCGGCAACAGCTTCCCAGGGTCGCACAAGGTGATCCTAGCAAGACTGCATCCTTTGATTTCAACCCAACTCTTTAGCCATTGAGCATGGGTGTGACGTTTGGCTAGTTCCACAATTGTCAAAGTCATCAGGCCTTAGGTGTCACTGGCTCCTAAAATTCGTAGTTCAGCCACTTCCTTGGCTAAAGAGTCGGCAATGCGATTACCTTCACTCCTGTCGTGCCCTTCAATCCACATCAAGATAATGTTATGATCTACCGAGGCTTTGACTGAATCTTAGTGGCACTCTAGTACTAGCGATTAAGATACCAGCCAGTTCTGTTTGAACCACGTTGGTATTTTTTCCCATTCCCCACTTTAACCTTAGACTCAGTGATTTGGAATAAACTCCACATCCTAAGCGTTCTTTGGTTTTTGAGCCGTCTGTATTTGTAGCATCTGACTCTATGTTCTGTTTCATTTTTTGGTAGGGTTTATTAAACACAAACCTGGGTTCAATTGGATCACTGGCTGCCTGCAGAAGAGGTTGCGCAGTAAGCACTTCTCGCAATAGGCTTAGCCTCAACTGACCCATTCCTACTTCGACGTTTACACCCAACGTGCGCAATAGTAACATGACCATTAACTCAATCTCCCTAACGTACAGGTCCAGAGGGGTCAGATCAGTAATTAATTTCATTGCCACGGTTGATGTTGTTCTCATGGCTCCTGTGATGTTTAAACAAGCCAATCGCTGTATTTGATATAATTTTTGGACGGCCATGCAATGGCTCCACACGGAATGAAAGACCCCATGCGACTCCCACTGTCCTCAGACATTGTTCATAACCCACTATGCTCTTTTTGCTCTACTCTGTAGGTGAAAGTTCCATATTAGCTTCCTGTGGAGAGAAATACCAAGGTATTTCACCTCTTCAGAGAAGTTCAGTTTGCTTTTGAAGATTTCTGGAGGTTTTAATCCCGATAAACTTGTTTTCCTGGTGAAAAGAACCATCTCAGTCCTCTTGGGATTGATCGACAGTGAGTGTTCCCTACACCACGTTTCTATCAATTTGAGCCCATCCTGCGCTCTATCGCAGTGTGTTAACAAATTTGCCGGTCTGTAAGATAACTATGTCATCTGTATATGCATGCAACTGATCAAGTGATTAATTACTTCAACATCATAGTTGAGGTGATTAATCAGGGTATCCAGAACTATGTTCCAAAGAAGGGGTGATAAAACCCCTCCCTGTGGACATCCCCTCATGACTACTCCTCTCTCTGTGATGTCTTCTGCATTGATACGTATTTATCTACTAGAGAGCATCTTGAGTATCCATTCTCCTACTACCAGGGGTACATTCCTGGAGTGTAGTTGCTGGGTAATTGATGGAAAGGTTGTTTTATCAAACGCTCCCTCGATATCTATGAATATACATACCCAGGGTCGATTCTTTGTTGTCCAATGATCTTTAAAAAAATTTCAGAATATGGTAAATTATGTTGAAGAAGTACTAGCTACTATCTTGAGTCCTTGTCTAAAGCATGCTTCAACAATGTTTCAGAGTTAATATTACTCTTAATACACTTACGTTTTGTTGTTCTCCAAATATCCTATTTGAATACATTTTGGTGCATAAATATATTTTCATAGTAACTGTAGACAAACTTTGAAGATGAAGTGATCGATCATTCAATAATGATAATCATACTCATTGATGAAATACAAATTTGATATGTCACTTTTCAGTTCGTTCAATAATAATGATAATAATGAAAAGGAGATGTATCAACTCGACGTAAAGATACGAAAAATGGTTCATCTCCATAGGAGTTTGCACCCAAGTCGTAAGTTCCACGGTTGTACCTTCCCTGACAACAAGGAGGCCGTAGACTTTTAAGTTTGGAGTGTCTACGTGACGGAATGGTACAGGATGGTACAGAACGGTACAGGCGTGTCTCAACACGTCCGAAGAAGCCATTATATGGCGAAACACGTATTGCGTTTTTGTAAAATCGTTTAGTGAAAATCCTACAATAAAGTGTTTTTTGAATACGTTAGTTATGGATTTTCATCAAGTATCGGCCAACTACAATAGACAATGGAAGTCCGAACTAGTGAAATTCATCATGAAATATTGCCAATCACCTTCAAACAAAAGTGATTAATTACTTCAACATTATAGTTGAGGTGATTAATCAGGGTATCCAGAACTATGTTTCAAAGAAGGTGTGATAAGACCCCTCACTGTGGACATCCCCTCATGACTAGTCCTCTCACTGTGATGTCTTCTAGATTGATACTTATTGATCTACCAGAGCATTTTGAATATCCATTCTCCTACTACCAGGGGAACATTCTTGGATAATTGTTGGAAAGGTTGTTTTATCAAACGCCTCCTCGATATCTATGAATATACATACCCAAGGTGGATTCTTTGTTGTTCAATGATCTTTGAAAAATGATTTGTCAGCATATATGACCAATGGTAAATTATGTTGAAGAAGCACTAGCTACCATCTTGAGTCCGTGTCTAAAGCATGCTTCAACAATGTTCTAGAGTTAATGTTACTCCTAATTCACTTACATTTTGTTGTTCTCCAGATATCCTATTTGAATACATTTTGGTGCAGTATATAAAAGTGATGTGTCACTTCTCGGTTCGTTCGATAATAATGGTAATAATGAAAAGGAGATGTATCGACTCGACGTGAAGATACGAAAAATGATTCATCTCCTTAGGAGTTTGCAACCCAAATCGTAAGTTCCACGGTTGTACTTTCCCTAACAACAAGGAGGCCGTAGACTTTTGAGTTTGGAGTGTCTACGTGACAGAATGGTACAGGATGGTACAGAACGGTACAGGCGTGTCTTAACACGCCTGAAGAAGCCATTCTAGGGCGAAACACGTGTTGCGTTTTTGTAAAATCGTTTAGTGAAAATCCTACAATAAAGTGTTTTTTGAATACGTTAGTTATGGATTTTCATCAAGTATCGGCCAACTACATCATATACAATCTTCAATGATCAATGGTTTTCAATTTGTCAAATTTTGGATATTTGTTCAATATTTTATCATTTCAATATCAGCAGTGTGATTGCTTTGGGTACAGGTGATTGAAATAAATTGAAAATATTGCTTCAATTTATTCATCATTAGGTACAGTTCCATATATTGAAACAAAATCAATTGTGCTAATTTACAGACTTGTTTACATCAAAGAGTAGTATTAAATTTCCACAAATACAATGAGTTAGGTAATAAATCATATCATTCTGATAAATCATATCATTTCTTTTTGAATAAAAAGTATGTTTGTACTTCGATAAATTCATACCAGAGTGAAGTAGCAATTATAATCAAATATGATTCTTCACTTCGTGAGACAGATAACCAAATTTTCCATATTAAAAAAATAGTTATATTACATATTATTCAGAGTAACCTCAATGACATGTACAATCAAGCAGCCAAAATGAAGGCCTATAGGATACTGATAACTCATTCAGTTCAGAAAGAAAAACAACTAGATATGTTATTTCAAATTGTTAAAATTTCAACTATAGTCGACTTTATTTACGAAGTACGAATACCTTGTATAAAGTATGAATGAATATAGATAGGTTTTTATGGAAATAATCTTGAAAGTTCGCAACTCCGCATCACTTTCTGCCAATAGACCTTCACACTTTCCAAAAAACAATAATTAAATCAATCTTATTCATTGGTTATATAGAAATATGGTTCATTCATCAGAATTAGCAGCCAAATTTTTCAGTTGCAAAGAAAAATCAAAGTATCAAATATGACTGTGGCGTCATTAGGTATAATTGACACTTTTCCCCTTTTCAAACCACATTCCAAAATGTATTCGATTTTGGAAAGCACCAAAAAATATATGAAAGAATTTACGACATAACAATTCAATTGGTACTACTAGTAGGCCTACTAGTAGGCTCAATATAAAGTCTGTGTTTCGCAATATGAAAGACTTCTTCATTTCGGAACTATCCATCAAATCGATATGAAAACCAAGTTGGCTATATCGCACGCATTGTCAGAATAACAAAAATAAAGGAAGAAAAAAATTGAACTATACAATACAATATGAATAAGTTTTACGGTGTTGCCTAGTTCATATCAAATGTAAGTAACGTCACGACCATTGTGTTCACTTCATTTTGGAAAACCCATCATTAAAGTGATTGTTGAAAATATAAAACGAGCTACATATAGTTTTCACCTAATATTCATGTAAAGGTCCGTTCTTCTCCAAGATGAATGATCATCAGCCTAAAACTACAATACTTTTATGAAAATATCAAACATTTTTAGAAACACTAGAATAAATATTTCCCCATCAGCATAATCACAAGCAAACTGAGGCTAATACCCAAAGTTCCCGATCCATTTCCATAAATACCAAACGCTATCACATTCTTCTCGAGTTTGTTCGTCGAAAAAGATATAAACCTCTTTCCGTTGGCAACACTGGAGTTGTACGTCGTGTTGAAAACAATTAACAGATTATTTTTTAGACTTATGGGCTGGTAGAACGTTGTGGTCTTGTCTGCAACATCCGTTTTGACAGAGATTTGCGAAAATTGGGTAGTAATGTTGAGGTTCTTGGTTCCACAGCTAGATGGATCTTTGGTTTGGCAAGCCAGAAGAGAGCACATTCTAACGTAAATGTCTTTGCGATCTCCAAGTTTTTGAGGTCCAGCATAAGCCATGAGTCTAGGAAAAAAATATTTTGAGTCAACTCCAATATACGTTACAAAGGTTTCAGGATTTAGTGGCATATCATTCATATTTTTCTCTAGAGAGAATGTTTGACAGTTGAAAACACCAGCTTCGGCTGGTGAAAAACGAAAATTAATATTTCTGGACAATTCGTCTGGATTAAAATCAAAATATGAAGACTTATTTTTATGAGCGCCTCAATATATCTTGCATATCTGATTTGGTACTTCTCGATCGAGTTGAATACAAAATAAACCTCGTCACAGTTTTTATAAAACTGATACATAACAACTGTTTCTGGGTTTTTAATTTTCCATAATCATCATCTTGAACATGTCTGTTCATTTCAAATTATGTCCACAATACAATCATTATCATCTAAACCGAAAAACATTAGTCAAATTACATCACAGTCATAAACTATAGACTGGGTATTAACGAAATTATTGTGTACATATTTCTAATGTAAGAACAATTGAAAACATATTTCAGTGTAATCAGAAATGAACCCTAGTTAAAAATTGTAGAAAGAATTGTATATCAAAGGTTTGGCTTGCAATCATTGAGGTGGCAGCACCAGCTACTGCAGTGCCACGCGGACCCTTTTATGCCAGGGTTATGCCCATATAAAATTAGATGCCAGCTCCATGGTGACGAAAGTGCAAAACACATTTTGTGTTTACTTCCAATTATATCTGCAAATTAGTGTTTTGAGTAGTGACGTCATAATATGGACTGGTCATTGAGGAGAGAACACTGACTCCAACAATTGAAAAAGGGTGGAGAGATCCATATTTTGGCGCTACAAGTCACAAAAAACGTTCTATCGTGCAGTGATGTCCGTAAACAATATACGGAAGAAGTATTTGCAAGAGAAAATTTCCTGAAATGTTAACCAAGAAAAAATCCAATGGAAACAGTTGAACTATTTCAGAACAGATGCTCAAGACATATTCATTTTTGTGTTGAGTGAATATTTTTTCAGATTATGTGAATTTTTTCGTAATTATTTTGACAAACGTTACTGACTAATTGGAATCTTCAGTTACTGTGTATAGAGTGTGTCAATTTCAAAACTAACAATGGGCTATATCTCAAGAACGAAAGCTGAAATCGAAAAATGCTTGAAACCGTTTCCAGGATAGTACGGGGGAACTGAAGTGACATGAAAGAGAACTCACCCCCATCAACCCTCTAGGCCCCACCCACCAAAACACAAAAAGTTCAAATTGCAAACCCCTACTTGTGATACATCATTGAAAAGACTATAAAAAATGCTATCCAATGGTATAAATAATAATAGAACCCGTACTGCAGGGATGATATCGAAAAGTAATCGAAGACGATTGTGGATATTAACAATCGAAACTTCGTGATGTAACTTGACTTGGAATCTCATCATTGGTCGATAATTTTTCTCTGAACCCGTACTGCAGGGATGATATCGAAAAGCAATCGAAGACGATTGTGGATACTAACAATCGAAACTTCGTGATGTAACTTGACTTGGAATCTCTTATATTTTTTTTTGTTCGATTGTTCGATTTTTTACTTCTGTTTCATTTTACTTCAGGTGTTTTATTTTCATTTCAGGATTTTTTTTGCTTAACATAATTGGTATTTTCACCTATTGTTTTTAATTTTTCATTTGTATTGTTTTTTTAGGGATATCAAATCATTTTATACGATATTAAGCAATGGAGGTCCAAACTAATGAATTCGATAGTTGGATCGCACCTTACCAAGGGACTGAAAGACACTAGATGAAAATTATGCGCAAAATAAGTTTTAATCTAATCTGTGGCAATTTACTTCTTCCGGGTACTTTTTATTTCTTTTACTCACAGTGGTGGAACGGCAAAGCAGAAAACCAGTAAGAAGGGCAGATGATGTCCGTTACAAAGGTGCCATTCAAGATACTCCTAGATGGGATGTAGAAGAACATATCAAAACCAGTGAATAAACCAAAAGTTATTCCAAAATCAGTGCTGAAGGTAACTTGGTTTTCTGACGCTTTACCGGGTGTCAACTTGGGCTCTCCATTCAAATTTATTTTTCGGTATCTGAAAAATCCAATACAAACATCAAAATCTTCTTTACGTAATACATTTTTCAAAGTTCATTCAAAACTATATATAATTTTTGAAGAATACCTTGTAGTAGGTAGTTTCAGAAGTTTGTGCTTGGGTTTTAGGATTAAGTTATTCCCAGAAAATGTGTCTCCTTTCTGCATACCAATCGTCACTTACAAAATACGAACGTACACAAATTCAGGAAGGAGAGTAGTTGTTTTCTGACAGGTGTCAGTTCATCAACCTACAGTGTAGGGAGGTGAGACTGGCCTGAACGAATTGTTTCTTCAGACGATTTGAATTACAGAAAACTTGTTCTGTTATCTAACTGGGAGATACTCACTTTGCTACTATTTTTCCTTCTTTGTCAAATACCACATTAGTGTTGTAGAAGATGGTTTTATTTTTTTCATTGCTCTGCTTTTCCAAGAGATTCACAACCACATACATTCCATGACCCCTAGCTGCGTTAGATAAGTCTGTCAACCACTGAAAAAAATTACATCAACAGTAGAACACATTAAAGTAGAACTCATGTGAATGATATCTGATTTTTATTCCACAACGAATGTTTGAAATGCAAACTGAGTAGAGAAAAGTATCTTCTGTATAATTCAGTGTTCATATAAAAGTATTTGTTTCGAAAGATTTTTTTCTTTCGTATAATTCAATGTTTATATGAAAGTAGCTGTTTCAGGAGGACTTTCTTTCAGTTTGTGTCTGAAAGTTACTTCTTTGCATGATCTACACATCCATGTATAGAGTTACTTCCTTCCTTTCTTTGGAAGATTCCCTCAGCCTTTTTTTTGTATCAAGATGGAGTAGTAGAAAGCCAAAAACTTTCTTTCCCATGAAATGAATATTGTATCAAAAAATATCAAAATATATCACAAAAATTGAAGCATCGCACGTTAAAAGGCAAGACTTCGTTAATCTTCAGCTCGCACAAGTTTCGACATCTAGGGGTTGTCGTTCTTTACAGGCGACAGCTGGTGAACGGTAAAATACATTTTAAACAAATTTTGTTTTTATCGAAACAATCGTCATGTGTGGGGATTTTTTGTAGATTGAATTACTGATATCAATTGTTTGAATTTTTGCTGAACTGAACTAGAAACACGTTTAAAGTTGAAAAAAATTCAAATATTAGTTCTTATCGCAATTAATATTGAAGCTTTCAGGTCTTCTTCGAAGAATCTTGCCTTGTTAGAATTTTTATTCAACAATTTGTGTTTTACAATTTTGACAACAATTTTTAATGATTTATTGAAAAATCTTTTAGGAATCTGTTTTTCCGTTAACCAGCTGTCACCCCCCTACGAATAGCCTCTGAAAAGTCTGAGCTTGTGCGATCTAAGGAATAACGGAGTCACACCTTTTAACGTTTGATTCCTAACACCACTATTTGCCACCAATCTAACAGTTCTAACATTTTTACAAATTTCATCCCAAATCATCATTTCGCTGCTCCCTGATGATATCATTAACCAAGTTTTTCCGATGTTTTAGCAAAGTCTCATTTGCCATCTTCTGGTGATGTCTAGATTTTGTACCTAGGCTAGTCCTAGACTATATACAGGGTGTAACAAAAGTACGTTATAATATTCGAGTGACGTATTCCTGAGACAATTTTAAGAAAAAAAGTTTATATGAACTTGCGTCCGAAAATGCTTCGTTTCGGAGATACGGAGAAAATTGAATTTTTTTTGTTCACTTCTTGAAAATAACTCTTGCAAAAAATAAGTTATTTGCACAAAATTTGGTACCCGGGGTTTTTTTGACGTGGGAAATNGAAGCATTTTCGGGCACAAGTTCATATAGACTTTTTTTCTTAAAATTGTCTCAGGAATACGTCACTTGAATATTTTAACGTACTTATGTTACACCCTGTATATTTGTAGTAGACGGTAGGCTCCTGTTACTGACTTCGTTTGCCTTCAGCAACCAAGTGTTGCCATCTTTGCACATGGCTACACCGCACTGATGAGGCCAATAGTCAGAAACACGTGTCCCCGGTTTGATCCCTTCCCCCCTTTTATTTAGAGCTCTTCCATTTATATTCCTTTTTTTGATTCAGATCATACACACTCGACATCTGTTTTTGTTTGAATGTATATCCTGGACCCCGAATTCACGCAGGTAGCTGTCTACCTGTTAATGTTGATTATATTGATTAAATGTTCCTATTTTGAATTCAATTCAGCAGAATTTTCAGTTGGATAAGAGTACAATATCAAATTATACTCAACTATATTGAATGAGTAGCTATAGTATAGCTACTCCATCTAAGCAACAAAGTTATCCAAAACATTATCATGCATAGTGCACGTGATTTCCGGGACAAGGCTGATTGTACAGAGTCGCACCAAGGAGCCCGTGGGTTGGGTTACCTATCGGGCGCCCCCCCCAGGTGAGGGATATGGGAACGGCCAGGGGGACTGTGAGCCCTTTCCGGGAAGCCAATGTGGCCTTATGGGCGGGGTCGCTGCTCTCCTGGTCAGTGGCAGAAATTAGTAGGGTAAGGGGAACTAAACCCCTCAAAAGCATCTCCACGGAGGGAACCCCAAGAAGGATGAAGAAGCCGCGCAACGACAGTAATGTCGCTGCAGCTTCCAAAACCTTCGCGGAGGCCACCGTGAGACACCTCAAGGTGGACTAAGAGAGTGGGTGTCCGGCGAGTCTTGGCCTACACCTGCCGATATAAAGGAGATGTCTCCTTTATGCCACCTCTGTATGAGATATTTTTTTAGGTGGAGTGTAGGGACACAAATTAGCAGTTTCTTCAGCCGTATCAGTACTTGACATTTAAAAAATTTCAAACAATTAAATAGCGTATATGTACACACCACAGGAGTTGAAACGTAAACCTGTAGCGATATACCAGAATGAATTCCGCCAGCCGAATGCAAGTAAATCTGATTGGCAGGCGTAAAGAGATGCAAATTAACGTAGTGATCATGATCACTCATCTATCGTTGTTTGGGTTGCTTTGTTTGTTGGATGGACAGAGTTTAGGCACAGAGTAGTAAGATTCTATGGTTTAGGTATCCTAACTGGAACCACAAGTGTGCAGTAGACTCCTGTTGTTGACTCCGTTCACTTGTGTTGTTTCCCGTTTTCAGCAACCAAGTGTTGCTCATCTTTTCACTTGGCTACACCGCGCTGATGAAGCAGATTTTCGAAAACACGTGTCTCAGTAGCAATCGAATGATACCAATAACACCTTATGACAGAGTGAAGCAATGAGTGAAGCTGCTAGTATTTCATATAGAAAATTTTATCTGTTACGTACACGTGCCCATGACTCAGCCACACCCTACTTTTTTTATTCTCCATTTTGATTCACAAAAAAGTTTACAATTATACTTACATGATCTTTAAAACTTGGTCCTGAGCCAGTTGGAGGTATTTCGATAGCATAATCTGTGGGATCGTCTACAAAACCTGTTAATCCGTATTCAGGAAAAACAATGATTTGAGCAGAATGTATCTGAAAATTGAAGAAAATGGTTTTTGTGAGTCAGTGCTGAAAATTCGCAGGCCTGGTCTATATGAACATTGCCAAGTCCAAGACTATAGAAGAGTGTGGCCCAGGGACAGATTTTTTTGTAAGTGATTATTGAAATATTTCACTAATTCAACTTCAATATGTGGGACATAATGGTTATTTTTCCATTACAATTACAAAATGTTAAAAGCCCAAAAATTAAGCAAACCTCTACGAAAGCAAATTTGGAAAGTAAGTCAATAATTGAAAAAATTCTTAAAAGAAACCAAAATGAGCAACAGATATAAAATTGAACTATGGTTAGAAAATGGATATGAAACTGGGAATTAGCAATTGAATTATTAGTTGGGTGTAAGACATTTGGTGATGTGAATATAAATTCAATTTATACTTAGAGCGTTCAGTGTGAGCTCCTATAAGTAATAGTGTTACTTGAGAGGATTTGAATTACCTTTTATTTTCTATAAAGACACCAGAAAATTACAGATTGAACTTAATATTTAGACAGGTAAGTCCTTAATATTCATTAATTGAAGGATTTAAAAAAACTCGCAAGAATCAAATTTTCACAAGGAGATGGAAAACTACTGGAGGGTCACATATTTTTATTATTTTTTTTTTGGAAATTACTACTTTGAAACCCGAAATTTCGACTTCAATCTTGAAATTACGACTCCAATCTCGTTATTTCGAAGCTAAAGTCAAGCTAAGGTCAAATTCGTTATTTCGAAATTAAAGTCAAAATTTCTAGTTTCAGAGTTGTAACTTCCAAGAAACAAATAATGAAAATATCTGTTTTTATTTCTGCGCTTTCGTAGAAAACACAATTAACACCATATACAAGGGTGATTTTTTAAGAAGTATAGAATTTGATTTCCAAAACAACACAATTTTTTTTTAAAAATTAATGAAATATTTATTGGAATCAATAGAACGATCAATATAATTTAATGTTTGAAGATGATTTCATGCAAACGTAGTCCGCGGCTCTGCTTTAGATGGCCCATGCGCAAGGTCCAATTCTGGCACACTCTCTCTGACATATCGACCGGTATTTCACGTATAAATGCTTCAATATTGGCTTCCAAAACGTCAGTCGTTGCTGGTTTATCCCTATAGACATGAGCCTCAACATGACCCCAGAAGAAATAATCCAAAGGCGTTAAATCACACGATCTAGGCGGCTAATTGACGGGCCCCAAACGTGAGATAAACTGTTCACCAAAGGCGGCTCTTAATTGGGCCATTGTTTTGCATGCGTGTGGTATGTGGCACCGTCTTGTTGAAACCACATGTCAGGCATGTCCAATTCTTCCATTTTGAGCAACAAAAAGTCGCCAATCATCACACGGTAGCGCTCACTATTCACAGTAACGTTCCGGCAATTGTCGTCTTAGAAGAAGTACGGCCTGATGATGCCACCGACCCATAATCCACACCAAACAGTTACGGGATGCATCGGTAGCTCTTGCAATGCTTGTGGCTAGTTTTCACTCCAGATGCGGCAATTCTGCTTGTTAACGTATCCATTCAACCAGAAGTGAGCCTCGTCGCTGAACACAATTTTTCGATAAAAATGTGCCAGCGCCCATTCACCAAATGTTAGACGTTGTGGGAGGTCGTGTTGCTTCAATTCTTGCACCAACTGTATCTTATAAGGTTTTATACCCAAATCTTTTGGCAAAATTTTCCACATAGTGGAGTAACAGAGGCCCAATTGCTGCGAACGGCGGCGAATCGACATTTCACGGTCATCACAAACACTGGCGGATACAGCCGCAATATTTTCTTTGGCCCTCACTCCACGTATGCGTGTTGGTGGTTTAATGTCTAATAATGTAAACTGGGTTCGAAATTTAGTCACAAACTTCCGAATAGCTCCCTAAGTAGGTCGACGAAACTGCCCATAAATTGGAAGAAGTGCACGATGCATTTTTTTCACCGAGCATGAATTTTGATAATAAAATTTAATAATTTGCAAGCGTTGTTCATTCGTAAGTCGATTCATGGTTAAATTATAGACGAAACTGAACAAGTTTAACAATGACACAAGACACGATTCACGCATGATTGGTCAAAAACAGTGTTGCCAAAAGAAACAAGAAAATCACTCATTACAACCGGAAACCTCCTTCTCAGAGCAGAACTTCACCTGTTCTTCAGTGAAAAGATTATAATAGTCAATTTCTCTTGAAATTTGAGGGTTTTTGTATGGTGTCATCATCCATGAAGTAATATCATAACAAGAATCGCCCAATAGCAAACAATCCCTCCACCTCACTTGGTTCATTTGACCATTTGTCTTGGATCTCTTCAATATACGACTATCGGGCACAAATCTCCGAACTTTTGACCGCCTCATTCGCACAAGAAACAAAACCCTCACTCGACATTATACAGAGTGGTCATCTCAAACTTCCAGGTACTTTTTTGCTGCCAGGGCAAATATCTTCCGATACGACTGGCAATGCCCAATATTGAAAAAAATATTATTTAAAGAAATTAACTTTGAATGTTCAAGTTCAAGTTCAAATTTCCGATATACCTACACAGTAGGTTGAATGGACTGACGCCTATCAGAAAACAACTAATCCACTGGCTGATACCACGAATGGCGTTGAATTATATCCGACATGCGTCAGTTCAGGAATCTTCACAGAAAATTTCCCGCATATGCAATTGGCAATACAACTGAAAGAGTCGACCTTAAATTTTAGAACGGGCACACTTGCAGACCGGTTTCGGGCTCCTTAGCCACTCGTCAGTGCAAGATAGTGACCGTCATCGACCTAAAGTCAATGATATTCCATAATTGAAAATCGAAATTCTTTCAGAGTACTTCATTCCTCGTCTTGAGTTGGAGCCAATGTCAAAAATGTCACTCCATCTAGTGGACGAGGTACTAACCAACTGCATATCCGAAATTTGCCCGATTTCTCAGAATAAGGAAGAAAAACTTTCTTATTAGTCAGTGGGCTATGCTTGAAGACAGTTTACTGCCTGTCTTCAATCATAGCCCGCTGACTAATAAGTAAATATTATTTCATATATATATACTTACACTCGCAGATTCTATATGACTAATGTAGTCATCAATGTTTGACTGTACGGTGAGGTTAGGTGTAGATGAGCGTGAAACTTGATACTCAACAACAGCGGCCACGTAGTCCTGAAAGTGAACATAATTTCAAGAATAAATATTTATGAATCATCTTCTTAGTTTTTGTCTCATTTTTCACTGAATTCTCAAATTGCCTTCTGATTTTGAAAAATTGTTAATATTACTGAAAAGGAGACTGAAACAAATGCAAAGTTTATAAACATTGATTGAATTTTAATCTGAAACGTATCAGAATTTTTTAAATTCAATTCAAGTTCAAAATCAATTTCAACTGCTCTGTTGAAGAGTTGCAAAACATACTGAATCTTCAGTAGACCAGAATGAAAATTACCATAATTTTGATTAATTGACATCTGGAAGAAACTTCGAACAAAAGTATGTGGTAACTCATTTTTACTTGCACTTTGTAATATCTACTTTCCACGAACTTATTGATGATAGAATATCATTCGAATTCACTGCTTTTTCTAATGAAATTACTTTCTTCGTTTTTATTTTACTTCAATGTCTTTTCAATATAGGTACATTCCAAATGTATCTCAAAATTTTTTGAAATGTTATCTTTCAGATTTTTTAAAAAGTGTCAATTTCATTAGAGTTCTCTAAATGCATCAAAATTTATCTGAGAATTGTAATCGATGACTCATGATGAATTTACAAAACGCATAAGTTCACAAAACTTATGAGTCATCTTCTTCTAACCATACATTCAGGTTCACTGCTAATATGAATAGAAAAGGAATTCTTTTGCTTCTGACAAGATGAATAGAAAATATATGATGCGATTCACTTGATTGAGCTCCTTTTCTGTATAAAATATTTTGTCAAAAACTCTGGATCTACGGATCTAAAGAAACAATAAAGAGATCTCAGTAATTCAACTCAATACTTACCGCTTCAGTGTAAGAAATTAGTACAACTAGTAGAGAGAATATGCACAAAGTCTTCATTTCAACGCTTTGATCAGCAATCAAAAGAATATAAAATCTGAATCAAGCATTGAATCGATTCTCTAGAACACCTAATAGACTTATCAGAGATAAGATAAACTTGTTTGATGTTTGTAACATTTTTATTTGTATATTCGCTGTCATGACATATATCACTTGCTAAATTCAGCTCCATATTCGGTAGGTCGGAAAATATAGAAGTCGTGATGTGGTAAATTTCCGAGGACTAATGAATAATTGTCATTCAGATAAGGTGTGCAAATAAGATATGCCTATATACATCGTATCCAAATATGTTTTGTGGAGTTTTGTAACGGTGACACTTCGATTGTGCCCAAATGTGCCTATAGAAACAAATGCCAAGAACACTGAGGGAGAAACAGAGAACTTTTGATTGTAACTGAAGTGTCAATAAAGACTTTTCAACACTTGTATCTGGAAGTTAGAAAATAAACACACAGTTGTACTGAAATGTTCGTAGGCTGACATAAAAAAAACTGTTGATAAAATTTGATTTTCTTATTCAATATAGTTGCCTTTGAGGGAGATAGAACGATTATAGCGGTCATACAATTTTTTTTTATGCCTATATTATAATACGATTTATCTTTAGCCTCAAAACAGGCCATCGGTGCTAAATTCCTTTTCAACGAGTGTTCTCTTGAGGTCTGAGAACAGGAAAAGTCGCTAGGGGCCAGATCTGGAGAATACAGTGGATGCAGAAGCAATTCGAAGCTCTATTCATGCAATTTTGCCATCGTTTTCATTGATTTGTGATATGGTGCATTATCTGGATGAAAGAGCACTTTCTTTTTCTTTAAATGGGGCCAAAATACTGACACCATAATCTTGCTAGCCGACCGTTGCGGCTTTGCACGCTTTGTAGTTGGTTCACCACGTACAGTCCACTCAGATGACGATTGTTTTGATTATGATGTGAAATGATGGAGCCATGTTTCATCCATATTCACATATCGACGCATAATTTCAAGTTTCTATAATAGTACAGCTTCAAACATTGCTCAGAATCATCAATTCGTTGTTTTTGATCGATCACTCATGCACGATATGTCAAATACGTTTCTTTGATATTTTTAGAGCCTCAGCTCTCTCGATCAACTTCACTTTGCGGTCACCAAAAATTATTTTGTGGGCTTTTTTATGTTTTCGTCGTAAATACGCCCTTTAAGGCGTTCACTGCGTCCATCGTCATCCGTCATCATTTCACCTCGTTTAAACTCAGCGAACCACTTCTCAACGGTTACTTTTCCTGGTGCAAAGTGCGATTAAAGTTTATTAGGCCAAACCTTGTCTTCAACGGTATTTTTTCGCCAAAAAGCTATGCTTCATCAAAAAACGGAATTAATTTTTAAGCGTTTTCTTCAAACTAACAAAAGTTGTTTCACTCAAAATGTTCAATCCTACTAACTAATGATCTGACAGCAGTGAATTTTGTACACGTGTCTTTTGAAGGTTAAGGTTAAATAAAACTCATATGGGCTTATTACAAGGAGCGCCATCTTTTCCCCTCACTTTATACACATGAACTCATATTTTCTATTCAAAAACGTACTACAAGCCAAAAAAGCAAGTGAAAATCTTTTTGAAAAAATCCATTACGTCGAAGTTGGTTGTAGGTGTTGTAGTTTGGACCCACAGAACCACTGCAGAACTATCTTCTGTGGTGATTCATTCTCCAAATTTTTGTAAATAGGAATTTGGGTGTGAGGGGTACTCCACTGAAAGAACCTTTGATTTTTATCCATTTCTGCTTCCCTTTTGAAAATAGGTTCAATCAATCAGAAAACATGGAGTAGGATGCCTGTACACTGATAAGTATGGCGACTCAGACAATTGGAATTTTTGTGCAACTTTGTTGACTTAATTTCATTTGGACTTTTCCAAATTACGTTAGATACTTATACCGTAAATAGGCGGGTTGGATGTCCTTGTTCATCTTTCACTGCCTGAACCACTGTGCCTACCGGCCGTCGGATGCCTGCTTCCACGTAGCCCCGCTGGATACGGGAATGACAGAATCACTTGTGGTTCTGTTATTCCCTCAACTGACTGGCATCCCAACAATGGCTCAATCCTAATAAGGTATGTGTATCCGTGCCGAGAGGATGAATGACGCTGGGCCTATCAGCTGTCACTACGGAACCTTCAAGATACCAGGCACCCTTTCGTCGTAGCATCGCTTTGTTACGTTAATGCGGAGCTCTGCCGTAATTTACCTACTTTCCCTAGCTACTCGTGGGACTTTTATGGACAGAGTCAACTTAAAAATCCTTTCTGACGCTGAGTATATAGAGGAGAGCTTCTCAACTCTGCAACTCCTGGTCCAATAACTGAACCTAAAAAAAGGTTTAGTGGTGCAACCAGGAAACGACTGAGTCGTCTCCTTAAGAGCGGGGTACCTTATAAAACCGCCTTGCACCAAATTCTTGAGCGGCGTACGCAGAATAATAATAATAATACATTTATTACCCATCAAAGAAAAGAACAGAAGAATATACAGTAGTGGTGGTGCTATTAAATGATATTCTGATGAATAAATGGCTGGACTTATTGGTTCAGATAACAGTTGAAAACCGTTTCTGTTCTTCCACCAATGCCAAAGAGATATTTACAGTTTTAACAGATAGCAATACATCAACGAAACTAATGATATTTACAAAATTTGAGTACGTCAACGAAGGTTGAGGTATAAACAGTGAACAGTAGGGGTCCTAAAATACTTCCTTGAGGAACATCTGATATAACTGTCTCGGGTGGAGGAACAAACCCCCCCATGAGCAGGTTAGCAAACGTTCGCGCTCAAGTGATGATTCACCAAAACCTAAAAAGCCCTGCATAGTTGAATCTAAGACATCGTCAGCCACACCTGCAAAAACACCTGCAAACACCTGCAAAAACCCTCATATGGGAAGGTTGTCGTGGGTATCATGGTGAGAATCTTGCACCTTGACTATCCGACTACCTCATTAATGATGAATCAGCAGAGCATATACTTTGTGCCTGCCCCGCTGGGAAAAGAATCAGGTTTATAGAGTTCGGCAGAGCCGTATTCTTACCATCTGACCTGAAAGAACACTCACCGTACAAACTAATCGGCTTCGTTAAGAAGCTGGGTTTATTTGGTCGAGTGTGAATAGGTGTGAGCCACAATAAACCCTTGCGGGTTGCGGTGGAGGGTCGAATAGACCCACTCACTTTGGATCTAACCTAACAATCACCGTATGCTACTATCAACGTTCTATGTGTTTTTGAGCAGTCAATTCCATTTGTTACACAAAATTTGATGCAATTTTTTTTTATCAATTCGAGTAGCTTTGCAGTGAAAGGCAAAGTACAAATCTAGTTCGGCAGTCGATATCGAAGTTTGGCTTTGCAACTGACCGCCCTGGGGAGCCTCGTTTATGCTCGATATTCGGAGATTGAGTCTTTTGTCGATTCCGTAGATAACGTCTTCGTAGAAAGAGATGCAATCATCATTGCTTATGGATTCACACTCCAATTTGTGTAATATTTTGTTATAGTGCAGAAGTGGGGTAAAAGTTGAAGATGTTAGTGTTTTCTATAATATGGAAATGTGCTGTTGGAAATAAAACACAGATTCGGTTGAAATATCCTTTTATTTTTTCAGTCAATTGGTAATTGTCACTTTATGTAAATAATGTTTCGTGTTAGTGCATGAATAAGATAAGTTATATAGATAGATCACTGGTCAAAAATATATATCTTCACATTTTGGCATATTTAACTGATTTATATGAATTTACAAGTACTGCAATGGATTTGTCAACATCTCTATAGTACCTATATAATTACAAAATGAATAACAATACTAAAAAACCGAATACAAAAAACCCTATCGTTTAAACAGAGAAATGCGAATTCTCATATTAAAAGCTACATTACTTATATTACCAGTGCATTTAAATCTCGTCATGAGTGTTAGCATAAAACCCCACACCTGACACCTATTGACGAGACAAGACAATTACCCTTTCCAATTTCTCTGCATGACACTTTCTAAAGAAAACTATATTTCTGTTATCATGACATGTAGTATACAATAAGTATCAGCAGACAATTTGTATATTAGAGTATGTTATCTAATCACATATAGATAATTAAAGGTTATTCCAAACAAGTGAGGAATGCATTTTATCAATGATAAACAGACCACTAGCGCTTAGTTTACATCGAAATTCTGCTCGCTATAACAACACAAAATGGCGGTGCACCTTATAATGGGTAAAGTTACCTTATCGTTTGCTTTTGGTTTCATCTTTGAACTATTCGTTTGTTTGCTATGTTGCATTTGATTCCCTCAAAATATTGAAACATCAATGATACAAAAAGGAAATACTCATTTATTTCAGTCTCCTTTAACCTTCTGAGGGTAATTAGCTTCAAGTTGAAACCATCAATTTCGAAATCCATATATTGGTGCATATGAAGACGAGTATGATAATGAAGACCTTGGCTGGGAAGAAAATACTGATGGTGGACTTGTGCGAATGATAGCGAACGTGGAAGTAGTTTTTAAAAACAAACTTTTTCAGCGGTACAAAAATAAAGCAAACCAAAATTGCTCTTAGAATTCCATGAATGATGTTTATGGCATATAGTGTTCGGACAAATATATTTCTGACAAAGACAAACCATTATTATTACTCATGGGTGCGAAAAGCAATGTTACTCCTGATCTACACCCATTTGATGAGCAGGAATGTTGAATGTGAATAAACTCCATACAAATTTTTCGTTGGAACAGACTCACATCAGTCCATTTTAGCGGTCGACAAATTACATCAATAACGCAAAAAACTCTGCTCAATGGGTCCCAAAAGGCAACATGCCTACTAAGATTCCCCATACCCGGATGAAAAAACGACGAAATGTACAATATTTTGAGGAACTCTCCTATGTATCAACACTTCAACCTAAAACCAAACAGTAGCAAACAAATTCTTACTCTCTCCCCACTCTACAAAGCGCTCCTATTCTTCCTCTGCCTCTTGCGCCATATCAAAAACCCTCCGACCGCTAATACCACCAAAACCAACAGAACGATTACTACGATTAGAGCCGTATTAGATGATGGACTTTTCTTGTGGGGCATCACTTGGACGATGCCGAACATTAGAAGTTCCGCCTCTTCGTTCAAAGTAATGGAAGTTCCCGCGTCTGCCTCTTCATATACAAAGGAGGCAGGAACAAAGTCTTTTCTCAAAGCTATGGGTAAGGATTGTACAGCTTCGGATTTTCTCAAATTCGAGGAAATGGAGACCTTCTGGAATTTGATCGGTTTGGCGCCGTCGGTAGGTTTTACTAAGGCGCAAATGAAGACATCGACTGTTTGGTTTAAGATGGTCGTCTTGTTGGATATCGCCACCCACCTGAGAAATAAATTAACACGTTAATGAAATGAGTGCTTCTCTGGATATTTTGTAAACAAAGTAATAATAACATAGTATCTACAATAATCGATGTTTCCAACATTTTCGGCTTTAAAATATCTGTACAGTTTGGAAGTAGGTAGTCCTCCTCCTCAATTTTTGAACGTGCCAAATATCAAAGTCGGACAAAATTTGTAAGAAAAGGAATCATATTTGGTATTTTTTGATAATGAAAAACCAATGATATGAGATCACCTATCGCAGTGAGGGCGTAATCTTTTTTTTTTTAATAGAATGGAGGGTTTTGTGACCCTTTGTTTGAAAGGTATTTCAATTTTCTATACAACACCCTTCACCGTTTTGAATTTGGATAACCGGTGGGGGATTTATTGGTGTATGAATGTCTAGGAAAAATGATAATTCGTAAATTTGTCCCCAAAAGAGGATTGAAACAGCCCCAAAGTCAGTTATGCACAGGTATATCATATATTAATATCAACAAAAACATATAATTCAGAACAGAAGTATAATTGTTAAAATGGAACATCGATTATCAGAGAGATGTTCTGTTTCTTCAGGCGTACCTCAAGGATCAGTACTGGGACCGTTAATTTTTCTTCTGTTTGTTAACGACCTTTCCAACCACATAACTGTTGGAAAAGTTACAATGTTTGCGGACGATACCACAGTTACTGTCTGTGGAGATACTCTTGAGGAACTCCAGAGGAATATTAAAATTACTCTTCTTGAAATGGAAGTATGGTGTCAGAAAAATC